GGAGCTCGTTGGGAGAGGTCCTATTGAGGAGCTTGTTGGGAGAGGTTGTTGGTGAGGAGCTTGCGGAGAGGTCCTATTGGGTGAGGAGCTTGTTGGGAGGTCTTGCTGGTTCTGGAGAGTAGAGTAGATTGAGCTCTACAGTCCACAACCAGGCCTACGCGTATTTTACGGTTTCTCAGGATCAGAGGAGTGAGGTGCGAAATGTGCGGCGCCAATCACCGAGCAGTTCGCGAGTGAGGCCTGGGGGGGACCGGTGGTAGAAGCGGTACCGTTCTTGCCTCGCAAGCGAGATGTCACGGGTTCGATTCCCGGGTCGGTGGAAGTTGTTTGGACTTACTTCCTAGCCCCCATTAATCCCTGTTCACCTAGCAGTAAAGTAGGTACCTGTTGAAAGTTGCGAATTCGTATTCAGGGAGTTGTTGGAGCTTCCAATAACTTGACATAAACCACTGACTCTTCAGGCTTCTACGCCCTTAACTCATGAGACATAAAGGCAAGCATGAACTTAGCCTACTTCCCTGTTGGGCGCTGCAAACGCTTCTGTGCTTCACCTTACACAAGGATGTAGGGGAGTGCCCAATAAAAAAAAAAGTGAGGCCTGGTTTGTTGAACTCACTGCTGATTGGCTGGTAAGCGGATGGCAAGATCAGTCGGCAGTTGTAGGGGAGAGTATCCACTACACTACCTGGCATTTTTTAAAGTTATATTGAGACAATCATGTGGTGACACCCGACTGATTTTTTTTTTGCTAATTTCACTCTAAAACATCACCAAGACTTAACCCCTTACTGCTTTGGCCGATTTTTATTTACCCAAAATCTCAGTGTAGGAATTGGGTTAAAGTTTTGAATTCTTTATTTAATTACCAATTAGTAAAAAAACACAAATAAGAAGTTTAAATGGAAGTATCACGTTCATAAGCATCATTTTGTTGTCTTGGCCTTACTATTTAGTGTGTGGCCAGCTACACACTCAATTGTTTTACCCGTTTAACTGTGCAGACCAAAACTGCATTTGATGTTTTTTCATGTATAAATTTGCTAATTAGGCAAAATGTATTGAAAAAAAATTGAGTCCATAATGGCTTCTCACATTGTAAACGCCTCATCACTATACTATTTCAGGCATTTTCCATGCTTGTCTGGGTCAGATATGATTACCTGTTGATACGGTCATGTCCAGGTTACCATTATGTAAGTTTGAAGTAAAGTTTATGGCTGGATTCCACTTCTATCACCAACCCACTTTTAGAGAGATGTAAATGGGCATAAGATGTAGGAACTCTGACCTCTCTCTTATCTGGCAAGGAAGTCACTACTCCCACACCACTTCATGCCTTTAAATATTTTTCTTAGATGTACCAGCAGTTCTGTACATTGACTTACTCAATGGCAAAGAAAAAAAGTTACTAATTAAATTGTTTATTGATGAAAAAAATTGCCACATTCTGACAGAAAATTTTATTTCTTCTACCCAATCAGAATGGACGAGTAACTCGCACTCATCTACCTCCCCTCCAGTTGTTATTTGTTGACCTATCACAAAGGAGCAGCCTCATCTCTCTCTCATATTGGTATCAGTTCTTTTTTCCCTCAATAACTACCTAACACAGTATACTCTTCTTCTATAGATGGTACAATCCCTTCATCAATCCTCAGGCACTTCAATGTTTACAATGATCGTAACCTAACCTCTCTATAGGCACTTGAACTCAGTATCTATTATTATAATTTATCCAACACCTTAGATACTCTCATTCTTAAAAGCTTAGAATTATATAACCTCTACATCCAGGCAATCTTCAGGCACTCTACTCTTAATTCCAGTTGACAGTGGTACAATGCCTGTATATTTCTCACCCAATCCTTAGAAACTTGACTCCTAATCCATGCTAAGAAAATACTTGTGTATCACATCTTCCCCTCTCTCAGCATAGGCAAATATTTTTCCTTAGCCACAACTTGATCTTCAATAACTCTTCAGATATTTCCTTTTGTCCTTATTTACTTGACAATACTCTGGGAATGATCGCATCTTTGTTTCAATTGATTATTAATTCTACTAAAACAAATACACTGATAATAGTGTACTTTAAAATTATATGCAATAAATAAAAAATGCAGAAATTAACGGTGAATGAATGACACAGTGAAAGGAAAGTGGAAAGCTTGAGCGAGTGAAACAACGGTAAGAGTCGGTCAGATGTGGGTGCTGGAGTGTACGTGAGTGGCCACAGAGCATAAGATGGGAGGTTTTATAATGGAAGAACAAACTTTTGATGGATAATACTGGCCTGTCTGAAGCATTGGTGTGACTTTTTGTTATGGAAGACACATACTATAGCAGAACAAATCTTTCACAGCAGTAAGAATGAATGAAGGGAAAATACCTCTGCATATACTCTTCATTACCAGCCAACCTGCATTAAGTGGGAGAAGCTTGTAAGAGTGTTAAAAAAATGAAATAAAGAGTCGTGGAAATAAGCACCTGAAACCTTTTTCGGTTATCCTTGATCAAATTGCCTTACTGTTTACCATTGTTGTATACCTGCACTGTCTCGGCACACAGGAAATTGTTTACTCCAACGGCCTACATGCACGGTGTACCTACAGTGTCTTGTCCATGTTGAACTGTTTACCTAAATAATTTTTGCAGGCCTACCCAATTGTAAACCTGTATGACAATTTTACTGAATAAATAGTATCCTTATGTTCTTATATTTTTAATAATGTTTCAAATATATATATATATATATATATATATATATATATATATATATATATATATATATATATATATATATATATATATATATATATATATATATATATATATATATATAGAATAAAACAATGAATAAGAAATGAGAAAATTATTAAAAATAAGAACAATGATGATGGACATGAGGAAGAGATGTAAGAACTGCACTGAATACTGTACTCTCAACCATGTCTTCAAGCGATCAAATGTCACTTATTAATGTACAGTACTGTATTTTACATTTTATTTTTGGCATCAGCTATAAAATATCAACAGTAAATGAAAGTAATGTATGGCCCAACTGCTTCACTCTTGGGAATGCTAACAGAATATAAACTTCAAACATATATCAACCCACACATAATGTACAGCAAGATTTATCCAACTGTATATCACAATCTCAAGTTCTGGTTCGAGACATGCTGGTAGTGCTGTACTTTTTCATGTATATATAGGTTCAGTGGCATCTTCTGTAGTCACTAATCTGAAATGAGCCGAGTCAATCTCCATCACTTGAGTAATATTGGAGTCGCTATTTTCTTGCATCGTGATTGAAGAGACGACATCTTCTGAAATCAGGGTCGTGATGGCTTCCGATCTCTTGCCTGATGGGCCGTCTTCGAGGATTACTTCCGGTAGGATGTCTGGTGTGGATTCCACCGAGGTAATTACTTCGCTGCATCCTACCGTCTGTGCTATGTGTTTGCTTGTGAGTCCCACCTGTGAATTAGAAGTGCTTGATATTGTTACACCACACACACAGCAATCAATGTTTTCTGTACTACCACTAAGTCATATCTGATGCAAAGTTGGGCTAATTAAGATTTTTTTCACAGTGTATATTTAGCCCCCCCCCCCCACAAGTTACAAGCAAAGTGAAGGAGACTTGAAAAATAAGACAAGCCTGAAATACAAAATACTGTACCCTATACATCCAACCTTTACCCTTTAAAGAAAAGTAATTAACATAACCTCTCACCCACCTTTGCCCACCTGTATGTATTCTCACTTCAACCAAGACATAAAAGAAAAGACTCTGGCCACCAACACAAGCTCTTTTTAACACCGAGTTTGTAGGTTGACACAACACTAACCGAGGCTCTAACTATGAGAGAGATCCAATGTTTTCATAGAGTACTTACATCAAAGGCCTAAAAAAAAAAAAGTGATAGGAACGAAGAAAGCCGTGACTTCTGTACTGTAAACCATTAACCGTACGTGACAATCCTAACCCTTAAGTAATAAAATGTGTACAGTACAGGTATAGTGTATGTTGAGAGATTACAAAGGTCATATTATATTTTCCTGCTACAGTATCATATAAATGAACTTGGTGCTCCAAAAACCTGAACCATCGCCTGAACTAGACAATCTGGGTGGTGTTTGGTTCAAAATAAAATTCCCTGAAATCTCTAGGTGACTCAATTACGAGGCAAGTGTTAATATGATGGTCGTCCAGCACCGCTTCAGCTCACGCTTGTATCTGCCGACTATTCTTCCTTTCGGTCTATTTTTCCACTCAACAACAATTAGACACAAAAAATTCACTAGGAAATAAAGTTGGTAACTGACCACTGTAAAGCAAGAGGAGGTGGAAGAGAAGTACATGAAGAGAAGAAAGAAAAAGAAGAATTCCACCGTTATTTCACCTGACTAGACGTGCCATCCTCAGCCAGCACGGTGACCTGCATTTCCGCGGAGTTATCAAGTTCCTCGTCCTCATCTGCGTATATAACAATGTAACTGTCCTCGGTGGTTATGTCCTCCGTCCCAACTATCGATATGAATGGTGTGGTGGAGATGGAGACGGTTCTTCTTTCTCCTCCATCTCCGTCTTTCTCAGCGTTTGTACTCACAGAGCCAGAACTCAGTAGGAATTCCAATTCGTGGCAATCCATTATGTGGTTCTCAATGGCTGCTCTTCTCATGAAACCTTCGCCACATAACTGGGAATTGGAAAACAAATATATATAAAGCTTTAGTAGTTAGTTTACAGATTGTTTTATTACATTAATTGTTTATTCTCAGGTTTATGTTTTCTTGCAGTACTAAAACTATGAACCTTAATGCATACTCAAAGCTAAGTATTTTAGATAGTATACCACATCTAGACACAACTACAGTCCTGTATAGTTCAAGTGTATACAATACATTAAAGTAATAGTTATATCAAATGCAAGATTCATGATTAGACAAATTATACATCAAAGCTGATAAAGAGAAACTTCATCTACCACTCCTTACTCTGTAGAATCTCATGAAGAATAGCCACCCATTTTATATCACATTACATTAAGTTAGTCAGGTTGGGTTAGGTTAGGAGTCCTAGGTACATTACTCATAATACAATGTTATAATCAACTAGAATTTACTAACATAACATTATTATTCTATGAGGGGAATAAAGTAATATTCTGTGCCTCTTTAACCCAACAGCATCAAGAACTACGGCTTACCTCGCATTTGTACCTCTTATTTGTAGAGTGTACGTACATATGGGTGCGCAGGTTGTTCTTCTTGTTGAATGCCCGTTTACATATGTGGCACTCGTACGGTTTCTCCCCAGTGTGTACTTTGGTGTGCTCGACCAATTTTGGCCGACTGATGAATGTCTTATTGCATATATCACAGGAGTAGTCCCTTATATTATAGTGGGCATATTGTACGTGTTTCGCCACTGAGGAACTTGTGGAGAAACTGGCTTTACATATAGAACACTTGTAAGGCTTTTCCCCCGTGTGAGTTCTTTCGTGGTTTTTCCAGGTACTGTATTGTTTGAACCACTTTGGACAGAAGTTGCACCCATAAGGTCGTTGGTTGGTGTGTACGCGCATGTGAGTCCACAGGTACGACTTGCGGTTGAACTGTTTGCCGCACACTCCGCACGATGTCTTTGTTTCACCCATGTGACTTTTCATGTGTAAAATAAGATTCCTTTTGTCTGTAAGCAACTTATTACAAATTTCACAGAAGAATTGTTCAGTTTTCCAGCTGTGTATAGTTCTCATGTGTATCTGGAGATAGTTTGATAACTGAAAGAAAAAAAAGGATATACAGTACTGTATATGAATAAGGACAATATGAGTTCAGTGCTTCATTCTATTAATGTGGAAAAGGAAAGAGAATTATATTATACTGTACTGTAGTTATATGCTCTTCTAATAGTTCTTCCAGAGACCTTTTACAAAATTTAATCTAAATATTAAAATTCTTTAATTTTTAGGCCTCCTAGTTGACAGTATTGAGAGCTTAAAGTTTCATCCATGTTGATCTGTACACAGAAAATGTTTCTGAAGTAATGGAATGACTGATCTTCCTACTGAGACAAAAATGGACAGGGTTTATAAACTCCGTCTGGAGAACCTATGCAAGAATCTTGTTGCAGTGCACCTAACATAATTGTGGTTAGTGTGTGGGCACCATACCCCTACTGATGAAACAGAACCATCGGTACATATATCCTATTGGCCCAAGCCTTCTCGGTCAACAGGATAAGGATCAACTGACTGAGGAAGAAACAGAGGAGGTGACACAGGTCCATAAAGATAATACAATACTGTAGACACAAACAGAAGAACCATGTGTCGACTTATGTACCAACTTTAGTTCAGTTGTTTAGTCCTTCACCACTAATAGGGTTTGTTTTCATCTTGTCTATCCTAAAACTATTATAGTACAGTACATCATATACCCAGTATTACACTTATACCCTGACCTCCAGCTGTGACCTTGACCTCTTGTGACACAACAGTGATGAATTTGGTGTTGGGTACATCTGACATGTCATGATACAAATTCAAAACAAGCATCATTAAAAACATATGTATCCATTCTAGACTTGTGAAATATAATGCAGAGATTACCTTGAACGTTTTCTCACAGAGTGGACACTTATGGGGTACACTATTACTGCCTTTATTGACACAGATAGGAATGTGGGCATCACGATAACGCTTCTTGGCAAAGGTGGCACAGCACAGGTGACAAGAGAAGGGGGTGGTATCGGCTTTTCTGATGCTGTGTACAGACTGCAAGTGACGATACAGGTCACCATGAGAGCTGAAGTTCTCTACACAATCAAGCACCTTGCACTTGTATGGCTTGATGTTTAAGTGCACCTGAAATTAACATCGGTGTAAGTGAAAATACAGTTATTCTAAGGTAATTTTGCTTTATAAAAATATGCACAGGCATACATATACACACAGTCACTCACACACACACACACACACACACATTGGTCAGTTAAGACTTTAATGGGGTTTATATATTTGAAAAAAAAAAAAAAAAAAAAATCCAGTGCAGGAAATGGTCCCGTTTACCAATAAAATTATTAAAATGTACTGTATTTCTGAGTTTTCCAAGAATATAATTCCTCATCAAACTAAAGGTTTACTGTGAAGGCTAAATATAATGTATATTTTCAAGCCATTTCTATTGCATACCTTATTATAATGACCGATGAGATCCCTCTTTCGCACATATGAGGCCGTGCAATGTTCACAAGAGAAGCTTTGTCCTTTATGTGACGCAGCGTAATGATCACACGCTCCTCTCTGACTGGAAAAGCCTTTATTACACTCACTACAGATCCAAGGCTTGTTTGTGTCCTCGTCCCTCCTGAAACACATCTTCTCCCGTTCTTCTCGTAACTGTGAACGTTTCTTACCCTGTAAATTATAAACATTTACTGGCTGTTCAAGGAAAATATTACATATAAAATGGGAGACCGAGTCATTAATTCCTGCTTTATAATTGTGAATGAAGTAAATGCATTTAAGCTTAATGAAGCTCACTAATCCTCCATGAGAAACAATTCTTTTTTGTATAATTTATGAAGATTTTTCATAAAAGAGAAAACAAGTCCAGAAATGCTATACAACCAAGTTTACCTGTACACTGTAGTGAAGAGTAATATGAAAGATTCTTCACTGCAACTGAAATCGTATGAAACATCTAATTCTTTTAAATTACATAAAACTGTAGGATTTTGAAATGTCCAAAAATTACTGTGATTATGCATTACAAAAGACAAGTTGCTACATTACAGAACATACCAAAACTTTGTGCTTCTGTGTGAGGAGTTTGTGAGTGTCCGTGCACCCATCTTCTGTGGTAGTGTCTTGTTTCTTCTGCTTATCAGTATTAACAGCACCTTCTTCTAAACCATCTACTGGTATGAATTTTGACAATACTTTCTCTTTATGTTTTTCTTGCTGATTTTCCATCAAGAACTTGTTATTTTCATCTTTACTCTCAAACACCAGCGGCATATCACATTTCTCCTCCACCTCCATCAAGCCATCTTGCACCAGAATAGTTTCCTCGCCATCTACAGACATCATTTGCACTGCGCTACAAGAGGGTGTAGGAGAGCGTTTAGTGGTCACGATGTCATTAACCTCACACATACTATCTGCCTCGGGGTCATAGTCTTGTAAAAATTGTGTCTGACATTTCAGTGGGTCTTCATCATGTGTGCTGTCACTTGTCTCGTCAGGTTTCTCCACCATTACCTCTGCTGAAAATGTCTCTGATTCTTGAGTTAATTCATCTCCTTGTCTCAGATCTGTATTTTTCACGAGAAACTGGTCTTCTTCCTGTAATGAAGTCAGTGAAACGAGGGAATGGTTCGTCATCTCATTCCACGACAAAGACTCAGGATTAAGTATTACACTCTCTAGACTATTTTCCAAAGGTTCCTCTTTAATGTGAGTCTGTTTCTGTATCTCAATGGACTCTTCACCTACTTCCACGTTGTTTGAATACACTTCTTTGACATCGCCCGTAATAACCATACTGTCCAAATCATTATTATCACAATTGTCAATAATAACAGTGTCTTTTTCCGTCTTAACAATGCCCTTTGATAAGTATTTGACCATATCTAACATGCAGGATTTCTCATCATCATCATCACTAACGAGAACTGGGGTTAGTTTTTCCTTTTCCTGTTTTCTTGGTCTGCCAGGTCTCTTCTGTGGCTTTGTGATCTCCATTATCTCACAAGTTTCCTTCATGTATGCTTCTATATCTGCCAGACTTTTCCCAATATCTTCGGCCATTTCAAATTTATTCATAACTGGTACTCCCCCGCCAGTACCACCTTCGGGAGGATGTACTTTCGAGGGATTAATATTCTGGTTGACATTAAGTTCATCTTCGACATCGCACTCATTGTCTGACTGTCCCTTAAATCTAGACATTAAATCACATTTCATTGATTTTAACTTATCTTCCATATCTGCTATTTTGTCTATAAGTAGAACACATTTTTTACACAACACCCAAGGTTCTATTAATGCCTTGGGATCAATGACACATGGGAAGAATTGTTGGAACTTTTGCAAAGCCTCTGACTGATCTCCATCAGGTATTTTGTTAAACCATTTGGAGGTTTGCCTGAAGTCTACATTTGTAGGGGCTTTACATGCTATACACAGAGGCTTGATTATATAAGGCGAGTTCATGGATTCGTCCACAACAATTGTAATATTGTCGAACTCCTCTCCCATGCCCATGGGCTCTTGCTTGACCTGAACCCCTTCACATGTTCCATCCAAGACCGAATCATCGTTGACAGTGAAGGCCGAGTCAACGATGTCCTCCTCATCCAGAGTTGAATCGGTTTTCACTCTAACCGGTCGGTCGGATTTGGCCAAGTGGTAACCCTCCTTGTGGGCATCGAGGTCGGCCGCAGTCGAGAACAACTTAAAGCACAAGTAACAGCGGTGGGTTCTGTCCCGGCCTTGTCTGTTCATTCTCTGTAAATTTTGTTCTGTGGTTATTTTCTGTATCTGGTTACAATAATGCTTGGATTTGATTTTAAATTCACCATCATTTTTTAGGTTTAATTCGTCTACAGCATTCCTGGTGGACTTCTTTCTGTTATGGATTGTGTTCAATGAGGTACTGCCACCGTCTTCCATCTTGTCACCAAGCCCTGTGCTGTTATCAATCTTTCTTATTTTCCTTCTTCGTTTTCTGTAATCCATATCGTTATCATCGTCCACGTCTGGCCACTTACCCTTTTCTTTATCGGGCTCCCTCTCATTCACTGAACTAGACAGACAATTAGACTTTCTCTTAGATTCAACTTTCCTTTTCACTTTGCAACTCTGCACGTGTTCTCTGAAGTTCCTAGACGCGATGTACTTCTTCCCGCATTTATCACAGATTTTAGACTTGTCGTGAACCTTGCGATGTCTCAGAAATTCCCTCAAGACGGTGCACTTATACGAACACAGGCGACATTGAAATGACTCCTCCTTGCCATGAGCTTCCTGTATGTGCGATCGTAAGTACTGCATATTCAAGAATTTCGCCCCACACACAAAGCACTCTTCGTTCCATTCTTTGTGGTATCGACGGCGGTGGTTTTCAAGTGATCTTTTTGAGTGAAGGAATGCACCACATTCTTCGCAAGTCCACACAGCTAATCTGACCAAAAATTAAATAAATAAATAAATAAATAACAATACAGAACAAGAATACAAAATACAATAAAATTACATAACAAACAACGCCAAAAATATAACTACAGTACTGTAGTGATATCCCCATCAGCCGGAATAATTGGTACAGAGTACAGTCTGCACAGATACTTTTTTTAGCTACTGTAAATGTACAATATTTTATAAAGAAAATATACAGTAAAACCTCGATTAACCGACCACATATGGGGGGAAGGAGCCGACGGATAATCCGAAAGGTCGGTTAATAGTACATAAAGTCTACGGAAATAAAACATATATTTTCAAAGTACCTTTCCCTAACCTACCTCATTTAATTCCCTCTATTCATTTTTGTTCATTTGCCATTAATATTTCAATAGAAATTGCTTTAAAATATTAACCACTTTAGTAAATAAATATGAACCAGCACAGAAACCGTGAATAAAAAATGGAAAAGTCAAAGAACATATGTCATCACAAAAATTGTGACCAAGTCCCAGGTTGCTGATCTGACTTTCTACCTCATTTACACACAATTGCAGGGTCTCAATTGCTTCTCTTACTATTGACAACACAACATACTGTACATACAGTATTACCCTAACGCGGTTTCACTTAACGCGTTTTATCATATATGGTGCCTCGCCAGAGCTGAACTTTCATTTAACACGGATTTTTTCCACATATACGCGGTGAGTGTCCGGCTCCAGACGCTATTTTTAGATTTGCCCCACCCGCCACCCTGCCTGACTGCCTGTTTTAGCTCATAAAATTCATACAAATTACCCGGCCAGAATATAATTTACATTGCTGGAATTCTTATAATTTGGTGATCATTTTGAATATAAACATCATATATTTTGCATTAGACATACAAATTTTAGATAAAATGTTTACTCTTGAGTAAATATGTTATCTTTTGTGCAAAATATGACATTTATATTCAAAATATTCCTGGTCTTACAAGGAATCCAGCAATGTCAATTATATTATCCTAACTTTAGTTTGAGGTATTATTTATTACCAAAAAGTTAAGTATTCTGGTTTTCCCACACATCTCCTTGGGACGGTTGGTGGGGGGTGGGGGGGAGGGAGGGACCGACCGACCATCTGTTACCCTGTGAAGAATATTTTTTTTTTTTATTAACTGAAGATATTTGTTTTAGCTCATAAAATTCATACAAATTACCCGGTCAGAATATAATTTACATTGCTGGAATTCTTATAATTTGATGATCATTTTGAATATAAACATCATATATTTTGCATTAGACATACAAATTTTAGATAAAATTTTTAATCTGAGTAAGTATGTTATCTTTTGTGCAAAATATATGACATTTATATTCAAAATATTCCTGGTCTTACAAGGAATCCAGCAATGTCAATTATATTATCCTAACTTTAATCTGAGGTATTATTTAATACAAAATGTTAAAATTTATTTTTTTCACCCACATCTCTTGAAGGGACGATTGGTGGGGGGTGGGGGGGAGGGTTGGGACTGACCGCGCGGTTGGAAGAGGGGGGGAGGCAAGGTGGGGTACTTTGATTGACAGATAGTGTCCTGAAGATTATTTTTTTTTTTATTAACTGAAGATATTTGTTTTAGCTCATAAAATTCATACAAATTACCCGGTCAGAATATAATTTACATTGCTGGAATTCTTATAATTTGGTGATCATTTTGAATATAAACATCATATATTTTGCATTAGACATACAAATTTTAGATAAAATTTTTAATCTGAGTAAGTATGTTATCTTTTGTGCAAAATATATGACATTTATATTCAAAATATTCCTGGTCTTACAAGGAATCCAGCAATGTCAATTGTATTATCCTAACTTTAGTTTGAGGTATTATTTATTAAAATTTAGTGGTTTTCCCCAAAAATTTCTCAGAGAGGGAAGAGCCGGCAGTGTAGTGTGAGAGGGGGAGGGAGTTGAGTCCATTATTTGAATGGACATTAACTTGGCGACTGTATTTCTCTATTTCTCTTAAGTATTAATTGTGTGCATGTACCATCATAAAATTAAGATGTTATTTTTACTACAACATAGTTATGTGTCTTCAAAAAGTGGAGTTTGGGGGTCGGGCCGGTTTCTATTGGAATTAATCCCATATGTTCTGTTGTTCACTTAACGCGGATTTCACTTAACACGGGACCCTCTGGGTTCTATTGACCGCGTTAAGTGGGGTACAACTGTATATTGTTTCTCACTCGATTTTTTTTTCTTTTTTATTTCTTTATGGTTCTTTATTTCTATTATTATTATTATTATCATCATTATCATTATTAATATTATTACATTATCGCCCCCCAGGCCCTGATGTGGGTTAGTGACTTGTGCCCGGGTGGGCTAATCCCAGTAAAAAAAAAAATAAATAAATAAATAAATTAGGAGTTCGGGATTGACGGTTAATCCGAAAGTCGGTTAATCGAGGGTCGGTTAATCGAGGTTATACTGTACTACTATATACACTGTACTGTACTCAAATGCTGTAATCTTAAACTTGTGATGCAGGCAGACCAAATAGTGATTTGATGATACAGGATGGTCTGCCTTTGTCGTGTACCAGTATTATCTCCTGTAGCAAGTGTTACTGTCATTCTCCTCTCCCTCCATGAAGGAGGAAGTGTACAAGCATTGTATACTATACATCCTCTACAGACAAGCAAACACTGTCCAGTCTGCTATGTACTTGTACAGTACTGCACAAATGGTACTTTTACACTTACTGAATGTAATGTAGTACAGGTTGTACCTCTCTAGTCCGACAACCTCAGGACCTGACCGGTGCCGGACCATGGAAATTCACCCTTTTCCTGGACAGATAGTGACTTGCGCTTACGTTTACACCACTTTCACTGCTTCGTGGTCTCTTTGAAGACATATTGAAGGGTTAAATGTCGTATATTAGCTTCTCAAATTTCGCGAGTTTTTAATTCAACGTTTTTTTATTTGGACACAAAAAAAAACACAACATAATTTAAAATTTTGACGGCGGAAACTCGAATTTCGACGGGTTTGAGCGGTTCGCCAACATTTAGGCGTGCACAATTGTGTAAACAGCGTCATTTCTCTTATGTACAAAAGATTCATTATTGTTTATTACTGAATGTCTTTTTTATTGAATTAATGTTTATGTGTGCAAAATGAGCAATACAATTCATTAATAATACATAGAACATTAAAACACACGAGGAAATGAGACAGCATTGTTTTTGTTGATTACAAAACCAGTGACTGATTGGTTCTACATATAAAAAAAGAAAATAAGACCCTGGTTGTAGCTGTAGTAAAATGAATGTGAAAAATTAATATGGTTGTTTTAAGTAATGTTACCTAATGTTATAAAAGTAGCAAACCATTTATGTTAAAGAAAAAAAGTGAGACTGCACATATGTAAGTGCGCACATGTGAAAAACATATCGTCATTACTCAACATAAGAATACGAAAGCAACACTTATTTACTGTTCATATATGTTTTAGTTAATGTTTCCCATTTTTTTTTAGAATTAATGTTTGTGTGTGCAAAATTTACAATACAATTCATTAATAATTCGTGGAATATTAAAACACACGAGGAGACGAGACGGCTGCCGGCATTGTTTTCGTTAATGTTTACAAAACCAGTGACTGATTGGTTCTACATATAAATAAAGAAAATAAGACCCTGGTTGTAGCTGTAGTAAATTTAATGTAAAAATTAATGTGGTTGTTTGAAGTAATGTTATGTAATGTTAAAAAATGGAACAATATAAGTAGCTAACCATTAATGTTAAAGAAAATAAGTGAGATCGCGTATGTAAGTGCGCACATGTGAAAACATATCGTCATTACTCTACATAAGAATATGAAAGAAACACTTATTTAATGTTCATATACAGGTACTCCCCGACTTACGACCGACTCGACTTATGTCCACCCGCACTTACGACCGCCTCAGTAATACCAAAATGTGGTCAAATTATGTATTTTTGAGTCCCAAAGTCAGTACACAGACAAAATTTTCATCTGTAATTCACTTTAAAATGGCTGGCAAGCTTAAAAGTGAATGTTTTGTGGTGCTGAGAAGAAAAAGAGACCCAAATTTTCGATTTTCTATGTGTTATTTAAGCATTTCCGACTTACGACCATTTTGACTTACGCTGGATGTCGGTCCCTAACCCCGTCGTAAGTAAGGGAGTACAGGTAGTTCTGCTATAACGCGATAATTGTGTTCTTGTAAAATATCGTGTTATAGAAAATTGCGTAATAGAAATAACAGGGCTTATGGAGAAAATAGGGTTAGGTGCAGATTACTCGAAATCGAAAAAATTTAGTAGTTAGCCTAACACAAAGGATAGTACAGTCTAAATAAATGTTACATTCATATCTAATAATGAAATCATACAGTAAATGTAACACTTTACCTTGAAAAAATATGAATGTAACTTGATGGGGGAGAAGGGTGATTTTGAGGTTGATAACATCGAGCTTCTCTTCAAGTGTTATATCCTTTCTTTTACGATAATCACCGGGAATTCTATCATCAGAACTCTTTTTGGAGATATTCTTCTTTACCATATTCACAGTTAATACCACAAAATTGGAGAAATAGTAAGCAAAAATCGCGTTATAGCAAACAAGCGTTCGCGTTATACAAATATTGTTCCGAATTCATAAATCGCGTTAGAGCAAATTCGCGTTATCAAAACACGCGTTATAGCAGAACTCACTGTACCTGTATATTGAAGGGTTAAATGTTGTACTCTGTATAGACAAACAGAAAGAGAGCCAAACTGCCGGATGTAAACAAACCATAATTTCCCACGGCTTTGTTGTTGTTTTTTTTTTACGGGGATTAGCCCACCCGGGCACAGGTTACTGACCCACATTGGAGCCTGAGGGGCAAAAATGTAATACTCCCGTAATAATAATAATAATTCAGATAAGTAAAAAAAAAGCTGGTTATCTACCTGTTGGGCAAACTAAAATCGTTCCAGACCACGGGAGTTTCCGGACCACAGAATGCCGGACTAGAGAGGTACAACCTGTATATGTACAGGTATCTGTAGGCATGATTACTTTTTACATCTTAACACTGCTTTAACGGTATTCTTGGCTGATTATATGCTGGTACAGTAATGTACAATAATGTACTACACAACTTAAGATCATATGCAAAAACAGCAGTGAGCAAGTGAACAAGCTTGTACAGTGGCAGCAGACAATGAGCTAAGAGTGTCATGATGCTAGACTTTGAGGAGATAGGCTGCCAGATACATCAGCCAATCATTCACGAATCTGAATCTCTAAGTTCGTAGAGCAGCAGGAGAGGTGACAGGACTTTTCTGGGTGACTGTACTATGTAAAAAGATAGATATTCTAAGAAAAAAAAGAAATACCAGTACTGTACTGTACTACACTCACCTTTCATCAATGGTGCTTACTTCAGATTCCTTCTTTTCATCTACAGGCCGTAAGACTTTCACCTGCGGAAATAATGAGTTAAAGTATTCCATTAGTTTTCTACCTTATTTTTTCTTTCACTTTAATAATTCCTCAAAAGAAAGTTGAGAAAAGGGTAAATAGTGAAAGTGGCACATGACATAAGGAGAAAGTGAGAGTGAAAGGCTTTGAAAATACTGTACTGTACACAGAAATAATCATATATAATTGCTCAAGTTTTCAATTTCCATATGCATTTGTTTTTAAATCTTCTAATTCAGGGGATCCCAATCTTTACCATCTCAGGTGCCACTTGACATTTTTGTAGCCACCTGCACACCACTCTGCCCATACAGTAGTTATGTAAATGAGATGGTAAATGTTAGGTAATTATATATAATATATGAATGGATTGATATCATCATGATTACCTAATATCTTTAGTTTCTTTCAAAAGGAGGGAAACTGACCAGGTATTTAATTTGGATTTAATGTGTTGTTAATATCCTGGTTGAGGGTCAACTTGATACATGAATTAACACTAAAAGTGTAAAGATAACATGTGTGTTAGCTTAATAATACAGGAAGTAGCAGATATAAAGAGAGGATTTACAGTGGGGTAGCTCGGTCTGTTTATTTCTCACAAGGGTTCGTTTTCGAAAGAGCACACCGAAGATCATCCTCGACACACAGTTAAGCTCCATGTTTTCTTTTTAGGTGGAAGAGTCGAGAATTCTGCTTCACATAGCCAGATTATTGATCCAATTTATTTTGCAATTCCATTGCTCGAGTAATAGATAAAAGTTTCAACTCTGTGTACCACTCTGGCAAAGCCCAAATGTACCACAGGTTGGGAACCCCTGTACTTGTGAAATAAGAAAAGTATAAATTGTAGAAAAGGCTGTAAAATCATGATGATGCCTCTTTAATCCCAACTCAACTTCAAAATTATGAAAAAAACTTGAATTATCCTGTTCTATACACACCACAGCTCCAAATCTGGAAGCAATATACTGCATGGTCGTCTTCTTCTGGCCTTTTGGTATTGACGGCTTGACCTGCACAACAGAGGATAAATTATGGGCAACCATCGCCCCTCTGTCGGTCTGGACAATGGCCCCCTCCCCGAGAGGTCTGGCAGGATGTATTTGTGCTGTTGGAATAAGAGAAACACTTAACAGATATTTTCTTACAAATCATATTTCATCATTACTTGTGGAATAGTTATTGCTACTTGATGATGATTTGTACATGTTTTTTTTAAATCTTCTGTCATGGTTTGTAGATGGGACACTACTAGATACTGGAGAGGTGAGCAACACAAACAGTCAGAATAATCCCGGACACCTAAGAAAGAATAAAAACTAAATCAATGAGAACTCTCCTGAGAAATTTCCCCCATTGATAAAAGGAAGTAATTCTTAAGAAAACATTTACATCACAATGTAGAATCTGCAGTCAGGTAAAAATACTCTCGACCAACATTATTCTTCAAAGTACAGTATAACTAAGTCTGTGAAACCCAAATGTCTCCTCTGGATGAAAGATGTCAAGTCCAAAACACAAGGAAAAGCTATACAAAACTCGTAAATCTATCACAGTCCTAGAAAATTTTATCAGACAATCTTAGAAAGCCTATTATAGAACCCAGCAAAATTCCATATCTTTGTGCTGAATATTCTCTACATAATCATGCAAATAAACATGGATGCACAGACAGACGTACAGACAGACATACACAGACAGATGCAACTCTTTAAAGCCCTTTCCTATTTTGAGAATCTGGTGGCTATAATATTCATGCTCTACTCTGGTGTTCCTTCTTCCACAACACAGCCCCTAAGATCACCATTTAATTCCCACTCATGACTCATAGCCCAACACCCAGACTTTCAATAAAAACTTCAAAAACATACTTACTTTTAACAGGTATTTTTGTTTTTGGTTTAGTCTTAGGATTTAAGCGTATGTAATGTTTATTCTTGGGTAGGGCTTTGGTTGACGATGATAGTGGTACGGTGTCGGACATTGGAACATATTTGGTTGTGCCTTTTGCTGCCTCCAGAAGAACTATCTTATCAGGGTCTTTCAGAAGATTATCAAGACATGTGTTGTCCTCTTGTTGGCACAGAGTTAAGGTATCCTCCTCCTCATGGCTGCTGCTCGACTTAACAATATCAGAGGAAGAAACTGAAGGAACCAAGCAAGTCTGTTCACTTATCTCAGTAGGTTCCTGGGTAGCCTCCAAGAGGGAGCTGCTCTTCAATACTACCGATGAAAGTGAGACTGGACTCCTGAAGGGGAAAATTTTTTTTTACTTTATGAAAGTCGAATATATTATACAGTCATCATATTAAAATCTGTACAAGGAGGTGATATCACAAACAAGTAATGGATATCACAAACTGTATATACTCGTACATCAACCTATCTCATGGATAGATCAACCCCTGATTGTATAATTCAACCCTAGCTTTTAAGAAATACTAGGTATAATCCTAGACATATTTTGTGGCAAGACACCAGACTCTCACTAACATGTCTTGGCCGTGGCCACCACCACAACAGCTGAGGCAATGAACAGGATTGCCCACTCTAAAACCAAATTCTTGCCAGAACTACCAACTCTTACTTATAAATTTCACTATATCATGAAAATGCATGAACTTTAACCCCTGAAAAATATTGCATTTGACCCCCCCCCCTTTTTGCACAAAACTTTATCATAAAAACTCAAACTATACGTGAGTATATTGTATACAGCCTATGTATAGGATATCACATGTAAGGAGAGGCTTCACAAGATTAAACACTTGAAAAATAAAACACTTGTTTACCCTAAACCATGAGAGATGCTTCCTTCAAAAGCCAAAATGATTCTATAAGTTGTAATGTGAAGTAATATGTACCAAGCTAAACACTTCAGTCATTTCCATGATTTGTAGGAACTAATCGCTCACACCAAATTGAATATCCTGCACTACCGTGGACTTAACAAATCACTTATTCATCATTCATCCTACTTTTTATTCTATAAAAATTATACATTTAGCAACCACTGTACAGACACTACAGTATATCTTAAAACTAAATTATTGGATTATCTCATTGAATTCCTGATTAAATTAATTGGTAAAGGTTCTGAAGCCTTCAGTTCCTCTCCCTTTAAATCTGACTTACAGCAGTACAAGTTTCTAGTAAAAAAGTTCTAGTTGCTTGTACCCATGATGATGCTGGGTGACTCGAATCAAAAATCATTACTGCCTCTCCTTTTGTTGCCTATACTGTACTCACCTTGTGCCATCCCCATTGATGTTTCTGTCCGGAGCATTAATGAGGTAAACGTCTTCATTACTGTCGCCGCCAACAACAAAAATCTGTACTTCACCATCGTTTCCTTCGACTGGACTCTGGGTTTCGCTGCCAACGCCTTCCCCAGTTTGAACCTCCTCCAGAACAGGACCTTCATCGACACCTTCATCTAAGGGTCCAAGCACCTGAAAAAGAGAATGAGAGAGATAGTGAAAGAGAAAAGGAAAAAGAGAGAGAGATAATTCAATAATCTGTGAAGATAATGTGTCACCATAAAAACCACAATACTGTGCTGTACATCAAGGGGCCATAAGTCAGGGATATAAAGATGGTAAATAAATGTTCAAATTCAAGCAAGATATGAAGCTCTATACATCATGTTCCATTTCAATCCTTGAGGCCTTTATGAAGTTAGTGAATGAACACATTTCACAGGACAAACTGACAGGAGTGACTATTGTAGTACAGCAGCTTTTAATCACTACAAATGGGCCTCTTTACTTAACAAAAATTTCTTTCTGACAACTTATAGTAAAACCAAGTGAGAACTCTGGATACATCACGCATTTGAACATTCTAGAAAAGGCTTTAGAATAAGAGGGCACACCAAGCAATGATCATACCTGAATGATTTGTCCATCTGGAGTGCGGATAAAATAGTGTCCGGAGGACGACAGTTGCAACTGAGGTCCAGCCTCTTGTTGACTGCCTTCTTCCTGACATGTTCCCACTTCCTCAAGTGTGAGGTCATTCTTCTCATCATCAACCTTCTCAGAGTTGTTATCTTCGTCTGCCCCCGAGCTCTCTTCACTCTTCACCGCAGAAGAGATGCCGATGATGTCCGTAACTTCTTTTCCATCTTAATTTTTTTTTAATTAGTTCTAGCTTTATCTCAACACATTGGCATTAACTCATCACCTAAAGATTAGACACCCAAGCTTATTCCACGTGATGATTAACCCCTTCATTATGAGTAAGTCACTTAAAATATTTTTAATGGCTAACACCAGACAATTTTATTCAGCAGAGAGGGGATCCTGTACACAAGTGGTTAAATACCTTCGCACTAACCTAACTCCTCCAGGCACCATCAAGGTGTTCAGTCATCACATAAATATCATAAGTTATAGTGCCAAATCTTCAGGTGATCTGCATTACCACTTTATATACAGTACTGTACCAGACTAAGATTTGTAAAGATATTACTTCATAAATATTGTTTTTAAATGCATTCATAAATACACACAGTCTGACAAAGAGACAAAGAGGTAGGTGTGTGTGTCATACACAACTCACTATTCTACTGTACTACCTTGCTCACTGACTAAAGTTGCCTCCAAATTCTGAGTAAGGATGCCTGCAGTGCTGCTAACTTCATTGGCTGTTAGGACAGTGCCACCAATCTCCTCTGATGATCCCACAAGCTGAAAAAATAAGTTAAAAATTATTTACTTAAACACAAATTGTACAACTTCCAACACATACAGAGAGAGACACAGACACCCCACTGTTTGTTATCCCGACCATTCTTCTTACCCACACATGCAGCCCTTCACTAATTCTTCCAAGTCTATGTTTCACTGCAATAAGTTATGAAAGGCAGAATTATAATATCTCTAGACTACACCCCCCCCCCCATCCAAGCTTACATTCCATCCCTTGGTAATAATTAATAACACAGAGCTCTCCCACACCTATGAGAGTAGGTGGAGGCATTATGAAAAATGGGGATAATACTTCAGAGAACTTCCTAGTGACCAAAGGAAAGTACAGGTACAGAGTTAAGGGAAATATGTCACAGGTAGAGAGAGTAAGCTAGTGTGCCATGATACCCTCTTTGGCCCACAAGTCTCACGAGTATTCATAAAGCCAAACTCCAGAGGTCAAGGAAATACTAGAACAGTACTGTACGGTAAATACCTGAACAGGGTCATACACAATAGAGACCGCACCGGTCTCATCCACTTCATACTGTAACTGAGCGGACTCAATGAGAGATATCAACTGCTTCACATCTGCATCCTCCATTCTGAAAAACAAAAATAAATCTTAAGAGTAGAGTACAGTATAAGAAATATCATGATATTTGTAGAGCAATAAGAAGCAAAATAATATTGAAAACTTAATCTCAAGTACTGTACTGTACAGTAATGCCATCTCTTTATACAGAATGACATCACCTTATGAACAGCAATATTGTATTGTAGGCTGTAGACTATAATGGATGCTACTGTAATATGCAGTCCGCCAGGATATTTACCCTAAAGTATGCAGTCTATAAAGCCGGATTTAGTCGACTGGAATATTTACATTGAATTGTCCATTAACCTAACCAAACCAAACCAAATCTAACTTAACTTACCCTAGATTAGGTTAATGGATACGCCAGTGTAAATATCCCGGTAGACTGCATACTATAGTAGCACCCTTTAGTGTATGTACAGTACAATGTACTGTATATATTAAGTTGGTGTAAATTCATCACAATATTGCAAGTTTCTTAATTTGTTAATAAAGGGAAAAAAAAGTGATAAAATTGTATGCTCTGTTCTCAGTACAGACAGTCCCCAAGTTACACTACAGATGGGCAAGGGGCGACCTAATTGAGGTGTAAAAGCATCTCAAGGGGCACTACTCAGTCGGGTGTCCTTACCTGGCACTGGCAGACGCTCGCTCCACAAGGGGTCACATCTCAAGGCTGAAGAAGCCGGAAGGTCCAGAAAACTGTGAGAGATAACTTTTTCGGAGTGAGAGCTGTGAACTCTTGGAACAATCTGCCAGAGAGTGTTGTGACGGCACTGAGTGTGAGCTCTTTCAACACAAGACTTGACCAACACTGGAGCAGGTTCAGGTACATTCAGGAGCTGGTGCATGCTCAGTACTTGCCAACAGTGAGTAACGGAGACGTGACCGATCGCTCAAGCGGCTAACGAGCCGATCAGTGGTGAAGAGGATAAAAGTAAAAGTACCAATGGATTCCCAATACTGTACAGTCACTCAAAAAAATGTATTTTCTTGAGGGGGTCGACGAATTTCAGAATGAACACTGCGACTCCTCTAATCTCGGTAGGGTTGTCAAAATCCTTCATCCGTTGTGCCATATTTTCTCAACGCCATTTTGTAAACATAGTTTTTTGAGTGACTGTAAATTATAATCATCACAAAAATCTGTTCCGACATTCAAGCATTTGTTGGTACAGTACTTATGAATGGTGAAGCCCACTTTTTTTTTTAACATTACAGGTATTTTGTTTTTCACTTCACTTTATTTACAGAATTTGCATCATTTGTTATGTAAGAGATATTACTGTATTGGTGTTCTGTATGGGAAGGGTTGTTTTAACCTAACCTATGGAATTAACTGTTCCGACTTACAAACAGATCAATTATGAACAGGGTTCAGGAACATAACCCAGTCTTAATATAGGGACTGCCTGTATTATTGACATTCCTATACTGTAGTACTAAATTTGTGCAATTTTTAGGGTAAATTTACCAATTTTCACATTTAAAAGAAATTTATTTTCACAGAATGAATTTGATCCAGATCCATTACATAAAATCAATACAAGTACAGTATAGGGTAATGCACCTAGCTATGTACTGTACATAGATTACAGAAATGCAGAATATGTTCTAAACGGTATTACTTCACTTGTTGCCACTAAACGAATCTTGTGAATTTTATAGTTGCAATCAGTAATTTGGGTAATTCTAAGACCTTAATTCAATAGCATTTCTGGCGCAAATTACATAAAGCAAAATATTTAAAATTTATAATATAAATTCGTATATGGCGGTAGAAACCCAGAACACCGAAACACTGTGGAGCTCCTCCAGTTAGGTTAGGTTAGATTAAAAAACTGTATCTTGCTTTTTATAGCAAATCTCTAGATTATGAAATGGGAGTTGGGGATTTATCTCAGAAACTATTGATATAAGCCAGAAATGAAAGTAAAATTCGTTCATAACACCAAAAACCATTGGAAAAACATGGTTTCAACTTTGGTTTCGTATAGTGACAAGTGAAAATTTACCGTTATAAACACTGGACCGAAGGCTTTAAACATTTTATCATATTTCCATAAATTAACTTAACTTTCACCAACACCTTACTAGTCTTTATTCACCCCTTGGTGCCTCTACCAACAGTCAGCCTCGGTGAATATTAAAACCAAACCCGTGACTGAACTGTCTGATTTTAACAGTAATGAAACACCACACGACTGTACCAAAGCTCATTTTTAATATATAGAATACATGGAAAAACACTAAGTCTACTAAGAAAAGGCAAGTATCGGTTATGATTCAGAAAAGGTTAACCAGAAACTTTATATTATTTATTAGAATAGATAAAACGGAAGCAAATAATAATAATAATAATAATACAATACTTTTTAGCCTTTGTACCAGAAATATATATTTTTATTTTTTACTTTTCGATTTCAGGTTTAATTTTTAAGTTCTTTTGTTTTATTGGGTTAGGTTAGGTCTACATACACTGGGGTTGGATAGGAGGTTAGGTCGAGTCCTTCTGGTTCCTCAAGTTAGGTTAGGTTAGGTTAGGTTAAACCGATACATAAACCAACAAACATCCATTCATAACTTTGTTTTGACCAATTGGTGGATCTCGTAGTGACTGGGCACAACAAAACCCCCAAATCCACATGCAAAATATCCCCAAACTCCCTCCTAATCCTAACAAAACCATCGTAACTACACCTTTATTACATCCTCTACGACCTGGGAACTGACCTGGACCTAGTATGTGTAGGAGAGAGCTGTTCATGACCTGAGAATGTCGATTGTGTAGAACCTTTGAGTGTTGAAAGAGGTGATGGGGAGGGGGGGGACTTATATTCGTAATCCTTATATATATAGATATATTATTTTGCTTTATTTAGTCTTCGTTTAATGTTTTTATTTTTTTATTATATTTATTTGAGTTTCTAGAGTATTTTTATTAGTTCTAGAATTTTGTGTAAATTATATATATTTGCTATTTCTCTTTCAGCACGTCAGCTGTTATCGGTTTGGGCGGGTTATTTAACTCTGTGGCTGCAGGTTACCCTAAGCTGAATAAAATCGCCTGGTGGCGGTACCCAGTATAAAAAGTAAGTATGGAAATGGCAGCAAACGGATTCAATTTCTATATGACTAAACCTGTAGGGTCAGGTCAGGCACTAACGTGACCCCGTGCATGATCAGATAGATAGATAGATAAATATTTATTCAATAAAATCTGTTATACAGATCTACATTGATTCAGAATGTATAGATAATAATGTGGGTATGGCATGTTCACCACAATGCTAGTACTACTACGTGTTCACTTCAAGTTTTCTTGCTCACTTGTCAGTGTGACGGGAACCTTATAATATGAGCTCCTCCATCTCTGCCGACAATGGGAGCAACACTTGATTGTGAACTGACTCGTATTCTTGACGGGAGGTGAACACACGGTAGCCATAGGCGGTGAGGACGTCACCACACTGCTGCTGTATGCGCTCCACGTCCTCAAAAGAAACGTGACCAAGCCACTCGAATACCGTCGCTGTTGAGTTCCTGTAGGTGGAGTACGGATGTGTCGACATGAGTGTCATCACGCCGTACATATTGAAGGCGATTTTGTTGGCGACAATGGCTGTGTAAGGAAGGCCGATGAATGCGTAGAGGCGACGCAGTTCCCGCGTCGGGTACAGGGAGAGGTCCTCATACCTCACCAGTGTGTACCTGAAGAAGAGGAATAAGTCAATTCAGTTCACAATCTTTGTAATGTAAATTTTAATCATCCGTGGATTTCCTCTCATTCAGATGCTTCACTATTACGAATTTTAATTATAAGTCAACTAACTGTTCTATTTACTAATGTTATTATATTCTGATATCATAAATGTTAGTAACTTTTCATTATTGTTTTTCCTGCGTTATTTCTTACAAACAATATATATATATATATATATATATATATATATATATATATATATATATATATATATATATATATATATATTCAATTGTCACTCCCTAGTAGGGATAGTTTATTATAAATTTATGGTGATGACATAACATTTTACTTTTTACTTTCACTTTTATCCTCTTTACCACAATAGTAGTGTTGAAAACTTACCTTCCGGGAAAGGAGTGGGAGAAAACCCTTGCCGTAATTAGGTTTTGCCTATACCAGGCACAGACGTGGGCCGGGTCCATTAGGGTACGGTTGAATGCTTCCTTATTTACTCCCCGACTTGAATCTCTCGACACTACCCGGGTCCTGGAGGCCAGCACGGCCCTAGGGTCCCGCACCAAGTGTACCACACGGACCTTAAGACTTGTGTCCTGCAGTAGGGGCTCAGCGATCTGCAAAGGGGCAGCCACCACTCTCAGAAGGCGAAGCTTAGCCACTTGACACATGGCCTCCGTCAAGGCAGGGTCGTCACACAGGCTGGGCTCATCCTTACACAGTCGCTTTGTGTCATAGTCGTTGCCTTGGTCACCCAACGACCACTCCTTGAAGTACTTCTGATATTTCGAGAACTGGCACCGAAATAGATCACCTAAAAAATTAGCTCCCAACGCTTCACGCCCCCTGAGCGGCTCCTCTGTGTAAAAGGTCCAGGCTGGGCTATGAAGGAGGGTTCCCAAGAGACTAGAGCCTGAACGCATCTGTGTCCATAACAGCACATGATTCCTTGGGTATTGAACTTTCCGGGGCCCAGAAAACACGAGTTCCTTGACGGTGAGACGTGTCTGTGGTGGTGGAGAGTCACGCACCAGCCTCACCAGTAGCCACACGACTATCACCTGTACCAATGCTCTTACCAACCTTCTTAGTAACGAGGGACAATTTAAAGACACCCGGATAAGCATAACTTTGTACTATAAGTGACACTTCGCAGCTGATCTCTTGATTAATACACTGAATATTACTGATATCTTGATTTATTTCTACTATTTGCAAATGATACCTCGAAGTCATTTCTCACCATACGGTCCTAATGGAAAAAGCAGGTGTCCTTGCTCAAATTGTCTAATTATCAACTATTATACGAAAACACTGGCAGATTATGAGAGCTGCGCTTAGAAAGTGAAGACATGAACAAATTCCTACTTTTAATTTCAACTAAAATAACCATTCAGGAAGTATAACAAGGAAAAGTATTTTCTTTAACATTTTCCTCATCCCTCGGAATTCCAAGACTTACTGTACTCACCTACCAGCTGTGTATCAATTGAGACTGAAAATACTCAATACATGCATTAAACAACGATATTTTCATTGGAAATGTAACGAAATTGAGGATGGGAACAAGTTTACAGGTTGTGACCGGTAGACGCACTTCTCGTATACCTTACCAGCGATGCTGCCAGAGAAAATACAAATAAATACTGTATAAGCTAAAGTGGAGATTCTTCAGGTAATTCGTGATCACCTGAAGAATCTCCACTCCTGCTTATTTCATCTAATGATTAACCACTTGACCCCATCCTCCCAAATAGTTTAGGGTGAATAATCTTTAAGTAAAATAAGCTGGCGGAGGAAATACTTGAGGTAATCCATCAAGTTGATTAACCTTTTGAAGGGCAGCGGTACACTTGGGCATTTTACTGAGGCTAACACTAGACAATTTTATTCAGCAGAGAAACTCCTGCCCTACATGTCTAACGTTTTGGAACATCACTTGTTCACACTAGGGTCCCCGCCACCCCCCCCTGAAAAAAAAATATAATATATATATATATATATATATATATATATATATATATATATATATATATATATATATATCATATATATATACAAGTGGTCTCTCGGTTAGAACACATTCGTTCCAGAAGGGTGTTCGTTAACCGAAAATTTCGTTAACCGAAACCATTGTTTCAATGGGATTTTGGGTAATTGGTTCCAGCCCACCAAAAATTACATACAAAGTTTCAATGGGATTTTGGGTAATTGGTTCCAGCCCACCAAAAATTACATACAAAGTATAAAAAAAAAGGCAGTAAAGTACACTTACTTTGAGGTGTGTATGTAGAAGGCTCCTGGTTGATGATGATGATGATGGGAATTAGAAGTGGGGATGGAGAAGGGAGAAGAGAAGTGGGGGTGGAAGAGAAATCACCCCATGCTTCATGCCGTCATTTCACCCATAAAATGTTAAGTACACTAGGTGTAATTCAAGATTATTTTCTTTAAATCAACACTGCACTGCACTATATATTTGTCAATATGTAAAATAAATTTCAGAATGACCAATAATTGTACTGTAAAAGCGTAAAAATAGTTTATGTTCAAGAGTCTCAAGCACGATGTTACCTCCACTGACCAGAAATACAAACTGACGCCTGTTTGGCGCACTAAAAACTAGATTCCTGTACTTCAATTATGTTAAATAATTGTTAAAATTACTAAAAAATTTAATATACAACTTGGAAAATTATTGCATACTATAACCTTCTTGATACTTACTCAAATGGGAACGAATTTAAGCGAAAACATGTTGAGAGGAATTTGTAAGGAATTCCTAAACCTAATTGAATATTCTTATGGAAGATAATTCGTTAACCGAGGCACCACTGTATATATATTATTTCCTCATCTGTTTCTTGTTCTATATATTTTCAATAACTTTTATCAGTACTGTACACTGACCATGAGCATTCGTCTGTCGCTCATTTTGAAGACCTCTATCCTCATGCTGACCCATACAATACTGACCATATAATGTAATGTACTGTACAATATCGCCCTTAAGTACTGTACTATTTTTCTAAAACCTCTATTGGTTAACAGATTTCTAAAATTATTAAGTGCTGTTTTATTAGACCTTATCATTTTGATTCTTACATTTATGCCACTGATTGGGTTGTTTTTCATCCGATTCCATGCATTCTTTATTGGGTCTAGCAAGATTCAAGAGTTCCCAGGCCACTCAGAATTAAACTTCACAGGCTCCAATTAGGGCATAAAAATGCCCCTAATTACATAAGTGGGATCAATGGTGTTTGCAAACAGTGTACAGTTTATGAAGAATAACTGGGGAAATGATTCAAGCCAGACATTCTTTAGATGCAGTACTACTGTATTATATGACTAAATATGTCTTAATTAAAACACACTAATTCTCAATAAAAGACTTTTTTAATAATTGTAAATATGTAAATTCAGTAAATATATATATACAGGTTGACAACCCTTTATCTGAAATTTCGAAAACCGGGCACAGGTCACTGACCCATATCGGGGCCTGGGGGGCGAAAATGTAATAGTAATAATAATTATAATAATACAGGTAATAATAATAATAATCATAATGATAATACAGTAATAATAATTATTCATAGTAAATAAAAATTTTAATAAAAAATACACAATAAAATAAGAATGATAACAACAATAATAATAATAATAACAATAATACTGTAATAATGAAATAATAATAATAAAAGAAATACAAGAATGAAAAAAAGATCAAGTGAGAAACATGACCTAGACCTATGAATTATTACTACTATTATTATATTTTAGCCCCCAGGCCCCAATGTGGGTCAGTGACCTGTGCCCGGGTGGGGTGATCCCTATATATATATATTTATATATATATATATATATATATGTAAATCACTGTAGGTGCGCGTGATCTAGGTATATGCTGATAACCACAAGGAAAGAAGGAAACACGAAGTTCCCAAGCGCTTTCGTGTAATTCACATCTTCAGGGGTGAGCACAGACTAAAGAGAAATACAAACCAAGGTGTATATATACAGAGGAGGGTGAGACCAGGTCCACAATGGTCAGGTATTAGGTAATGACCCTACTAATCTTTAAATAGCTAACCATTCTGAAATCCGAAAAATTCCAAAAGCCGAAATGCATCTGATCTCAAGGATTTCGGATAAGGGATTGTCAACCTGTATATATTTTTGGGGGATGAGAGGAAGAAAAACATCATAATTGTATAATTTTTAATTCTGGAGACACCGAATTGAAATAGAAGATTGTTTTTCCATTTTGAGGTAAAACCAAGATACATTTATAATATACTGTACACAAATTTGTACACTTTTTTTAAATGTTGAAAATTTTATATTTATTAATTTTTTTAAACAAACCAAATTTTATCAACTTAGCCTCACCCATTAACATTTCTCCTGCCATCATGCTTCCTGTACAGTACAGTATATACAGAGCAAGCTTCCTGTATTTCCTGACAACTGGTATGTACCTTAGTCACTCAAGGTTTTTCTTCCTATTTGTTTCTCTTAATAAATTTGTGAAGCTTGTGTTCAATTTCTCTTGTGTATTCCAGAATTTTGTTTGTATTTATTTTATTGATATATTGTTAAAAACTACTTTCCATGTCTTCAAGGGACTGCAAGTGTACATTTTGAACATCACCCACCTCCCCCAGTCTCTTAAGTGTTGGGCAAAGTGCAAGGTGGTGTACAGTGAATGTATTTTATAATGGTTGCCCTCATGTCTAAGACTGGCTGGCCCTAAGACTACCTAGGCATTATGTAGCTTAAGGTATATAAGATGTCAGTAATACAACAACCACGCCTTAAATAAATGAGCTGTAAGGCCCAAGGAGACCAGACAATTCACAACAGGCTACCATTACCCAAAAAACACAATCCTCTAAGTGATAACATCCAAGGCCAATATTACTGCTGGGTTGATAAAGAGAATCTCAAGGCAACCTTTAAGCAACACAAAATTATTTTTTATTTTAGAAAGAGAGCTCAATTTACATACGGTACAACTAAATAATAACTGAGACGCAGAAATAATGTGTGAACGTCACAAAATGTAGAAAAAGTATGTATGGACCACTTCGCAATAATTCTGCACTAAACCTTGGTACATTGGCTGGCCATTTACCTATTAATGTGACAAATAAAATAAAACAGAGTAACTGTATATTGTAGCTACACTTAATAGCAATACAAAAGATACATAATGTTATACAAACAGAGAGAGAGAAGGCAACTTTCCATAAAAATAAAACCAACATCTTCACTTTTATCAATAATGAATCAAATCATATTTTGTACACTTTCTTTTCTTTACTTATCTTACAATTCCTTTAAAAAATACCTTGATTCAAGGGGTACAGAAATCTGTAAGGGAGAAATGGTGGTGGTAGAGTGGGAAGTGTAGACAGGAACAAGAAAGAGCTAAGACAAATTAGAAAGACCCAACATTCCTTTTGTCTTAGGTGTTATATATTGAAGTCAAGTAAAAGTCTAACACTCTCCTTTTGACACCCCTGACAATTTTTCGATCTCGTCAATTAGGAGTTTGTTGTACTCCTTGAGATCCAGAGGTTTACATCCATTGACAGAGGTTTTCAACCTTCCTTCATCCTGGAAAAATAAAAACAAGATGTAAGCATAACACAAAATGTAAGGAACATTAATTAGTTATACGAGAAGAACAGCTAACTTTCACTAATGATGGCTGCCACCCTAACAGCTAACTTTCACTGCTGATGGCTGCCATCCTAACAGCTAACTTTCACTGATGATGGCCACCACCCTAACAGCTAACTTTCACTGGTGATGGCTGCCATCCTAACAGATAACTTTCAGATGATGGCCACCACCCTAACAGCTAACTTTCACAGATGATGGCCACCACCCTAACAGCTAACTTTCACAGATGATGGCCACCACCCTAACAGCTACCTTTCACTGATGATAACTGGCATCACAAGAGCTAACTTTCACCGATGATGGCCACCACCCCAAGAGCTAACTTCAACTGATGATGGCTGCTGTGTATGGGTTTAAATTCACAGCATCATAACAGGTGTACCTCTAGGAATAAATACACTAAAGCTACAAGATTGGTGGCACCAGCTGAGGTGTAGTGTATTGTTACATCAGCGATTGAACACAATCACTCAAAAGAGGATTCCTTGACAAACTTAGGTAAAGTTCAACAGTTTAAAGATACTGTATTATGATTATTGTCTATCCTTCATAAATCTATAACATTAAATTCATATAATTCCAATGACTTAAATCTCTGAAGAACAGTAAACTCTCGATTTAACGGAAACCGATATACTGTACAGTAATGAACTCTCGAGTTAGGAGGAGGCATTTTTCTGTTATTTTTCGCTCAATTTAGTGAACTCTTTCGCTAAATCGAGATTAATTCCGTTAACATGCTCACACCCATGGAGACAACTTCAGACACACGATACAGTAAAACCTTGCTAAGGCGGACTAATTGGGAGAAAGGAGTGTTCGGGATAAGAGGTTGTCCACCTTAGAGCAAATTTTCCCCCAAAAGATGGTCAAAAAAAAAAAAAAAAAAGGAATACAACACCAATGTACGGTAACCAATTTTTATGAAAGAAATAATTATATATATAATTTTTTTTTAATTAATTTAAAAAGTATTAAACACAAAGTACTGCACACTTGGTTCACTGAAGGCTTAATCTTCTCAGCACCCTTACCGATACCAAACACTTTCCTAGGGGCCATGATTATTGTTAAATTATTTCAATAACAATACAAAAAAATATGAATGTTACTTCAGCCTACAACGAATGCACTAAATGTATAAAAATATTCATGATATAAAAAACACCATATAAGATGTACCCCCCATTTTAGGTAGGAGTGTTTAGGAATTTTTTTGAATTTTCCTCCTGTAGCCACAGTTTTCTTAAAATAATATGTAAGTGCGTTCCAGGAAATGTGAGGAATAAATAAAAAAATAAAAAAATGCAGTAATGCCAAATCAGGAAACAAAAGCCAAATTAAAGTTTAAAACAGTCACCAATTGCATACACTCCGTATTTCACCAAAGTAACGAAGACCAGCTGGGACGCCGTTTCCCGAGCAATGCTCCCCACCCCCTACACTCTGTACTCACCCCTCCCTCACTGAGCCAACTAACTCTTGTGCAAAGAAATGTATATAGTATTCCGTTTACGTGTTTGCCCTTTGGAAAATTATTTCTTTTACTATTTTCACAAAATGTATGTACGATGATGTGTGCATGTAATGGAGTCAAAAATAAAAGAAGAGAGTTACGACTATGTACCCAAAAATGCAAGTTGAAATACAACTATAACACCTCACAGCTTGGCCCAGCAGCATGGTGGTCACAGTGATGAGTCTAACCTGGCTACAATGCCATGATAAATCACTATTATATCAGTAAACATTAATAATAACAGTAAATCCAGTGAAACATGGCAGGGAAGGAGGAGAGTTACAAGAGCATATGACGCTCAACTAGCAGTCACTCAACTCACTCCCCTTACTCGCACCTGTTGCCAGGCAAAGAATGGCTGGTAAGATTCAATGTCATGAAGTATAAGAGGATGTACTGAATGTGAAAAGGACCTGAGTTTGTATGTTGAGATTGAACTGAAGTTCTTGGACCATTGTGAGAAGGTGAATCAAACAACTAAATTTTTAGGTCTTAAAAGGTCGTTCAGATATCTAGACGGTCCGTCCCTCATCACGATCTTCAGGAGTTAGGCGTTTCCCCGCCTGGTCCTCGATATATGCTGGAGACTGTCAGTTGTATTGAAAATGTCCAAAGGAGCATCACCAGACTGGTGCCTGCACTTGGCACCTCAGGTATCCAGAGAGATTAGAGCGCCTGCAACTGCCTACAGATGGGCAAGAAGGACTTAATCAAGGTATATAAACACCTCAAAGGGCACTGCTCCTCAAGTGTTCATACCTAGAGCTAGTGGATGCCTGCCCCACAAGAGGCCACAGCACAAGGATGAAGAAGGTGCAAGTCCAGAAAATTTGTGAGGGGGGAACCTTTTCAGTGAGAGTTATGAACTCTTGGAACAACCTGCCAGAGTGTTGTGACGGCACCGAGTGTGAGCTCTTTCAAGACCAGACTTGACCAGTACTGGAGCAGGTTCAGATACATTTAGGAGTCAGTGCATGCCTAGTACTTGCCAACCGCATAACAGAGACATGACCAACTGCCTAAGCGGCTAACGAGCTGATCAGTGGCGAAGAGGATAAAAGTAATAAGTAGTCTAGTTTGAAAATGGTGACAGGTATTGTGATAAACAATTAAACCATGCATTTACCTACAATAACAAAATAAGAAACACTGTATCATTACTAGAGTGAATGAAATAATATTCCCAAAAAACAATTAATAACTCTCACGAGGTGGTCTGAGAGGTAGCAGTGAACAACACATGCGGTGGCGGCAGGACACAGATAGAGTGATGTACACAAACTCCACATGTCAAGCGATGTGTGGTGTGGAATTTGATGGAATCACGCATGATTTAGTGAAATACTGTAGTTCAGTATATCAAACGAACATAATGGAAAGGTTGATTTAGCGGAAATTTCAATTTAACAAATGGGGGTGGCTCGAATTAGTTTGTTAAATCAATTAGTTTGTTAAATCAAGAAAATACTGTATGCTGAACAAAAATCTTACTGTGGTGCTAAAATTTTCGTGCATGGTGATTACTGAAACAATTAAAAAACATGCAGACAGACAGAATAATCAAATAACTTACATTATAAGATTCCATCTTAACACGTAAATTAAAGACGTATTCCTTGAATGTCGCATTTATGAAAAACTTGGTGAAAGCATCGTGGTCGGTCTCCTTCAAGTTGCCGATGTTTTCTGCAGTGGTGCCCAGGATCTCCTCAGCAATATCGTGGAATGCTGTTGCCCAAACAGTGTTTGTGCAGTCCATCAGGTTCATCTATTGAGGGGGAAAACATAAAATTTTCCTTAAGAGCACAATACAGTACTTTACAGAATCTGATCACAAAAATTTTTTCACAGTAGAATTACGACTCCTATATTTCATACATTTACAAGGTGGAATAAATCACTAATGCTGTGAATGTATCCTTCAGTTCCAGTTAAATATCAAGAATTTCCAATGTCCAATCTTTCAAACGGGACGGGACAACGGCATTGATAATTTACAATACAGTTCAGTAAAATATTAATAATGAAACACATTTTGAATTTATCAAAAATTCTCAAGATACATGAATAATATGAAGAAAACAATTAAATTAGCTAAATATAAGTTGGGGCGATTCCAGCCACCTAACTAAATGGGTCTCTTTCAAGGATTTACCAAATAATTTAAAGATTAGTTATACAGTGGTCCCTCGGTTAACGAGTTACCTTCCATAAGATTCTTAACTTCGGTTAACGAGTTTCTTACGAGCCGACCTGAACATGTTTTCGCTTGCATTTGGCGGTCCACCAGCTGTAGTATTAGTCCGCCAATACAGTAATCGGTTCTAGGGCTTAAATTCCTTACCATTTTAGCAAATATCAAGAAGTTTATACTATTCAATAATTTTAAAAGTTTAATATTAATTTTTTTAGTCATTTTAACAATTATTGAACATAATTGAAGGTAATGAAACTAGTTTTATGCGTGCCATCCAGCCTCTCAACACACCATACAGGCGTCAGTCTCTGTGTCTTTTCAGTGGAGGTAACATCATGCTTGAGACTCTCTTCAACTAAAAGCTTTTCTTTTCTGTGTTTGCAAGCAAATTATTGGTCATTTTGAAATTTATTTTACATATTGACAATATATAATGCAGTGCAGTGTTGATTTAAAGAAAATAATCTTGAATTACACCAAGAGAACTAAAATTTTATGGGTGAAATGGCGCCATGGGGTGCCTTCTCTTCTCCCTTCTCCTCCACCCCCATTCTAATTCCCATCATCATCATCATCATCCAGGAGCCTTCTAAATACACACCTCAAAGTAAGTGTACTTTTCTACCTTTTTTGTTGAATTTAGGCAAATTTCGGTGAGCTGGAACCAATTACACATTGAAACAATGGTTTCGGTTAACGAGCAACCTTCTAAAACGGATTGTGCTCGTTAACCGAGGGACCACTGTATACAGAACTATACATGGAAAACACAAACACTGCACTGTACAAGAATGTAAGGATAATTAATTTACCAGAAAATAGACCCAAAAATACAATCAAATATGATACAAAGTACAGTGTATGATGTATGCTATGAAAGCAATGTGAATAAAACCCAAGTGAGAAATACTGTACTGTACTATAAAATTTAAGACCAAAACCATTCACCGAAATGTTAACATCAAGAAGTAAGCCAACTGCATCATTCAACATGCCCACATTTCACTTTTACACAATAAATATACACAGTCTGTTTCTTTATACAAGAACCCTAAATGATTAATATATTTTAGGACGTACAATAAAGAGGAGCCTAATAAATCAGTGGGAATAAAGTCTGATCATATCATTGCAAAGGAAATAAATGTTCATTATTGTATGTATATTATGTATGTGCTCCATTTATATACATTATTTATTCAGCCTAGCTAGCAGTGTGTGGCAATGTATTTACCATGTCCCACACGCTTAATTAATGTGCCTGGCGACATATGGAAGCTGCTAATGTATCACTTGCCACATGTCACCTGTTTGTCCAGTAAATAGAACCTACGAAAACCCTACAGGTGTTTGTGTTCGCTCCTGTAGATATAACTTGGTACCCAGAACATATACAACTATGATCAGACTTTATTCCTACTGATTTATTAGGCTCCTCTTTATTGCACATCCTAAAATATATTAATCATTTAGGGGATCTCGAATAAACAAAATTTACTTGCTAATTCTACAAGTACTCCATTATTCTACACCTGACGAACTTGACGCACCTCAGCAATTTTTCTGACACTTCTATTAATAACACCAATAAAAACGAGATCATCTCACTTGTAGCATGAGCCGCCACTGGAAGGTGTCATACTCGCGCCCGCACTTCTCGCACCTATACATGCCATTGTTCAGGTCAATAACCTTCTTGTTGCAATTATCAGAGGGGCAAGCAGCATACACACTATTATCATGACGTATCAGAGTAATGTACGCTTTGTTCTTATAGAAATCAGATTCGATGCTTCCCAGCTTTTCTGCCATGGCTTCTCCAAATGTTTTGAAGGTATCATTTGCTAAAAGAAAGAAAGAAAAAATGCATCATCAAAATAACTTCCTGTAAGGCTATGTAAAAAAATAAAAAACAATTATCCATCCAACTTTGGCATAAGTCCTATCCCACTATCCCAGACAGTAATTTTCTTTATCTCTAAAAGTGATCCATTGTTTGAGGTCAAAGCAGAGAATCTGCGAATGGCATTTAACCCTTAATCGGCAGTCACTTCCTTTTTTTTTTTGGCATTCCATTTTTGTGTATATGAGGGTGGTGTAGGGAACCTTTAGCTGCTGATTAAGAGTTAAAAGCCCTGGCATGTGTGTGCATCAGAAAGTGAACAATACCAATACAAAAGCCATACACAATTACCTCCGCCAAAGCCACTTCTCTGGTTGGAAAGGTTAACTGTGCCTATGTTACAGCCACCATTATCAAACCACCCCTTCAGCTTATGGGCTTCCCGGATGTCTGGGTTTATCTGTAGGAGAAAGAATTTGACTTTTTAAGATTTTGCCTCTCACACTTACCAGAAGATGTCACTATGACCGGAGTTTGACCGATTCATGGTCATCTTGTACTGTATTTAGCTACAGCATTCTTTAAACTTATGCCATCTTATTCAATGATTCTGAATACCAAGCTCATACAAGGCTTTTATATCCAATTTTTATGGTTTTCACTTTAAAAACATATTTAATATACTGTAACTATAAATTATTCAAACTAGGGGGGTTAAAAAGCTGACAATGTGATTCAAATGTACAGTACAATAGGCTTATGTTTGCAAGAGTAAAATATGCACAAATCACTGCTGAGCAATAATGGTTATTAGCCAGTGTTAACCCCCTTCACTATGGGACCCCACTTGACATTTTATTTAGCTTACGTCAGGCAATTTTATTCAGCTGAGAGGGGAACCCGTACACAAGGGGTTAATAGGACCATTTAAAGAGTTAATAAATTACTGCTATAAACTGATGACTACAGCATTGAATACTTAATTAAATGTTGAAATAGGTAACTGCAAATAGAAAAGAAACTCAGAACAATAAAGATCCAGCTTGAGCAGTGTTGGAGGGTGTACTGAACACAACACATGACCACCACATTACCTGTACAGCGGAGGAAGCAATTGTTGAGAGACAACGTCCATTAAAGTCAGACAACTTGGCTCCCTTCACAGCTACTATGGGTTGCTGGGATCCATCAAAGTTTTCTGCCTGGCTTCCCCACAGTGTTAATCGTACCTGTGTGATAAATCGGGGAACCTTTGTCATGATGCTGCTACAAATAAGAAAGGGTGGACATTATGGTAGACTAGAGCCATCAGTAGTATGGCTGATAGCTCTTTAACTGTTGATAGTGTTAAGTAATTAATCTAGGAGGTGGACAATGTGAGACCTACTACAAGTGTCTCTAAATACAGAATTATTAACCACTACTTCTTTACCTCTCTCTGTGTCTCGTCTAGAAGCTGCATATCTCGCTTCTTTAATTCCCGGCCAGATGTTTTCTGAATCACGGTAGAAATATCGTGGGCTTCTTTGCACACTCCAATAATATCTGAAATGCCATTAAAAATGAAGATTTACACAGTGATCATAGGGGATACTAAGTAATCCCATTTTCTATTTCTCATTTTTGGTATTTGGAAATGAATGCACTACTGATAAGGTAAAAACTTGGTACAGTATCTTGGGAGAGACTTTACTGAGGAAGGGAACATGTTACCAGAACACATCTTTTATATCAGGTGAAGAGATAAGACACCAAATTGAAAGAGATTCTTTGTTTTTACTCTGAATTAAGGTCATACTTGCACTATGGCTACTACAACACACTTCCAACACTAGTTAGGTTCCTCAGGGTGTCACTAAACTCAAATTACACAGACCTTATTGGGAGGGGGATGGCTCAGTTCCCAGGCATTCACTTCAACAACAAAACTTATTGTACGCTATAAACACGATCAAAGAATAATAATAAAGTGATACCCAGTCATACCATATAATTATAGAACTTAAATGAACAGAAAAGAAGAAAAAAACGAACACTTAAAAAAATTGCAAAAAACATACAAATGTTACATACAAAACTTTAATAACAAATAAGAGGCATAAGGAGTACCTGAGTTTGTGAGGCACCATTGCCATCCTGAGGTAAGCACACAATGACTTATAATTAAAAGGAGATAAATAATATTAGGAGTAATAAATGATATATTGTTATGGTGTTCCCCCATCAGCAACACACACTATACCAAACAACAGCAGCCTCTTCCAGTCATGCACACAACACTACTTTCTGAATGTAAGCAAATCTTCCTCACCTATGAGAGTGTCTTTATTCAAGCTTTCAAGTTGGTCAATTGGAACAAAGTTGAACTGCATGGTTGGGATGGACGTGACTTCATGGCAAGGGGTGACCTGTAGTAGTGATTAAATAATGTCAAATTATAAAAGGCCTAATTTAGTGTTAAGATAAGGATGAGAAACAAGGGATGTGATTTACATAGTGTTTATGTGTGTCCTTGAAATAAACTGGACATAATACAGCATGAAAATGATGAAATGATTACAAATTAGTTCATAGTTTGGGTTAATAATAATTTCTCTAAATGCAATTCCTTGCACCATAAAGACAGACAATGAGTATTATCCTTGGCCTCTCCCTCCACCACCCCACTGCTCTCGTCCCCAGCCCTTCCACATCACCTGTCTCTCCACCCAGACCTTCCACATCACCTGTCTCTCCACCCAGACCTTCCACATCACCTGTCTCTCTACCCAGACTTTCCACATTACCTGCCCATGAGCCAGTGTACAACAGACCGAGCACCTCACCTACACCTCTTAGGTGAAGCAGCAATACTATCCCTACTTATGAGACAGGTGGACAAGGGTAGGGACCTCAGGGGTGAAGCTCATATTCCTGGTTGTTAATCCTTGAAGGAGGTTTTGTATTTATTACTATTTAAGGGACTACAACCCAGGAGTATCAATTCGGCCAGCAAAGGTCTAACAAATTTTCATATGGTGAAGAGCATACAGTTAAGTATATAATTCCTTGGGTACTGGAATAAATTATAATCAATCATATGCAAAGGTTCAAACACTATACTGTATTAAAATGTGAACATCCAAACACGAGTTATTGTACATAAAAATGAACCAATATAAAACAGCGATCTAAACAATTATACTTCAAAAGTTGATGGAGAAAATTGCTATAGTAGTAGAGTTAATGTATACTATAATAACACTGAAGTAAAAGTGCCCACCTCGGTCATCTTATTGAAGGTCATCTCATAGTCATTCATCAGGTTGCAGTACTGTTTGTTGGCGGGTTTGAGAGTGGCTGACGAGATGAAGTACACCTTGTTCAACTGAAATAAGTTACATGATAATGTAATTAATAGTGATCTGGGACACAAAAACAGATCTTGTGTGTGAAGATTAGGAACTTCCTCCCCCCCCCACCACCACTTATTTTGACTGATGATTAAACATCCTAATATTGACCTAACCAAATCCCACATGGTAGAATCAAGGTGTTTAATAATTTGGTACAATAAGCAGGGGTGCCTTAACTTCATGAGGTCCACGAAAACTTTCACAATGATCAATGAATCACATTCTCCTAACTGGGTCCACCCGCTTCACACATGGGGACTTCTATTGCAAAATATGCTAATAATTACTTGACCCGTTACGTTACCCAGTCAAAAATAAACATTCTGCATTACAGTTTGGACAAAAATAAAGGAAAAGTGCCATTATCTAACCAATGGCTAAAAATTGTCATCAAACATAATTGTTACTGTTGTTAATAAGGGAAAACCTAATGATAAGCTCATATTAATTCTCTCGAAAACCTTAAACCTAAAACTATACACATACAGTTAGTGGTAACCCTATCTCCCTAAACATGCAAGTCTTATTCCTCTAGAACTTCATAATCAACAAATTGCCCATATAAATCACTGTGACATGTCTGTAAACACTCTACATGAGTGAGTGGGTAGTAGCAGAGGCAGCACTAAAGAGAGAGAAGAAAATGTGAGTAAGAGAGTGAGTAAGTAGCAACTGGACTATAACTCACCTCGATTGTGTCATGAAACTTATCCACCTGCTCGTTGAAAGCTGTTGCACGAATTTCCCCACTCTCATCGATGAGGTCCATGGAGAAGAGCTTGCCTTCACCCCGGGAGTTGGACCAGGTACGTATGTCGGTTTTGTTATTGACACGAACACACACGGTCCACCTGGGTGAAAAATGTTGCACCATAAACTTTTTTTAAATTTCTAAAATGGAAAATGAGGGAGAACAAAAAGAAAAAGAAAAAAGAGAATTTTCTGATCACAATGGTCTATTTTTTTAAACACTAAACTGTACAAGCGGCCCACTTATAGCCTTCCCGAGTTGATCCATTTAATTAAACAAAAATAACAAACTAGAGGTGTGTGTGGGAGGTGTACGACTCATAACATCATATACAATAGGAACTCCACTCACGAACCGAGTTTTTGCCTCACCCTCCGCACATCCAAACCCACAAAAGCAGAAATTGACAGTACAAGAAAAATATTATTTCCTGCCTTACAATGGTTAAAAATTTTCACACGCTGTATTTATAATTAAAAATAAACTGAAACATACATAATGCAAGGTCCAAAAGGTAAATAAGGACTGTGCTTTATTTCTATAACAGATCTTGGGTATAAACTGAGGAGGGGTCGCTCTTCAATTTTTGTTACTCTGATATTAACGAGTAGAAGCAGTTGAATCTTGAAATTTATTAACTAATTTAATTTCACAAAGGAAGTGATATATATAGAATTTTAGAGTCAGCATTGTTTGCACCATATAGGGTGGGTCAGAATTATGTACATTACAGTACCTACTATAAACACTTCCTTTCTTCAAATGTTAGTTGATTATTCTCCATATCAGTAGGTCAACAATTAATTGATCAAGTTGTCAACGATATAAAGTATGACTATTCAAAGTGTTGATCGACTGATTGGGTTAAATATCTGGCCATTTAACACCGAAAATGAAACTTACAAACTAAAACTGATATAAATAAAATAAAATCCTCTTAAGTTTAAACATCAAAATTAAAATAACATCGAATCCTGTATTTATTTAAAATCACAAGAGGTGAAGTACCTCTATTGCAATTAAAAATATAAAAAGTCAACCATCAAGGCACCAAACTTCTCTCACTAAGCACCTTAGAGATGGAGGAGCCATCCTCCTGCCAGCACTCGGCCAGAAAACGACTCCTCAAGTCTCCATGACTGGGACACTCGACCAGCAAGTGTCACACAGTCAGTGGCACAGGACAGTCATCACAATACGGCATCTGTTTGCAAATATGTTGGCAATACCTCAAGACCAATTGTTGTTTTAGCTCCTGAAATATCAAATTTCTTTGGCCAACAGATGTAGCTGGTCTAGTTCACCAGTTGCAGGAATGCCAATAGTGATAGGAAAGGATACTGTCCCATCAACGTGCAGGGGATCTGTGACGACTTGAGGTTCAGTAATATCACAGCAAGTTGGCCAAGTGCACATGCTGGAAAGATTTTCAATAACTCCCATGTGTGCCACATCCTCAAGCAAGGGAGTCATGCTTATACCTGCTTGGAGATGGTGGTTATCCCTGCCAACAGTAATTACTCACACCTGTACTAAATCCAGCAATAATACTGCACATGCAAGAATAAGAAATGTTACTGAGCAAGGTTTTGGTGACATCAAGATATGGTTTGCTTGCCTTGGTCAACCTGTTTGAACTAAATTAAAAAATAAAGAGAATCATCAACGCTTGAGCAGGTCTTCGTCGTCTGGCCATAATGGAGAACATTCATATTCCTGAAAAAGAAATTCTGGCCTTGTTAAGATAAACAGGAAGATCATGCTCACTATTAACCACAGGATTTTTATGGTCAAACAGTGTAACTGAACAGAGGCTTTATGATCCACCATGGCATCAATGAATAATACAGTTTTGTTTTATATATAATGTATTGTATTAGCTTTGATGTACATACATTTCCTTAATCAGTAATCTTTATATTGATATAAATGTATTACCCTGTACACTTGTATATATATATATACTGTATATATATATATATATATATATCTTGATAAAATTACATGCTGCCTATCTACCTATTGGACAAACTAAAATCATTCCCAACCACAGAATGCCGGACTAGAGAGGTACAACCTGTATGTATGTATGTATGTATGTATGTATGTATGTGTATATGTATGTGTATATATGTGTATATATGTGTATATGTATATATATATATATATATATATATATATATATATATATATATATATATATATATATATATATATATATATATATATATATATATATATTATATATATATATATATATATATATATATATATATATATATATATATATATATATATATATATATATATATATATATATATATATATATATATATATATATATATATATATACATATATATATAAAACTGTTTTTCTTCAAATAATTAATCAGCACTTTCCATACAAAATAATATAAATACTGTATTTATTGTCAAATCTCTTCCATATTCTATACTGTATAGTATATAAAGTGATCCCTCGGTTAACGAATTACCTTCCATAAGATTCTTCACTTCGGTTAACGAGAAATCCTTCGATTAACGAATTCCTTACGAGCGCCCCTCAACATGTTTTCGCTTGCTCACTAGCTGCCGTATTAGTCCGCCAATACAGTAATCGGTTCTATGGCTTGAATTCCTTACCATTTTAGTAAATATCAAGAAGGTTGTACTATTCAATCATTTTAAAAGTTTTACATTAATTTTTTTAGTCATTTTAACAATTATTGAACATAATTGCAGTACAGGAAACTAGTTTTATGCGCACCAAACAGTCACTCAACACACCAAGCTTGGCGTCAGTTTGATACAAGTTCAAAGGAAGGAACACCTTATTTGACTCTTCAACATAAAAGCTTTTTTTTCTGTGTTTACAGTCAAATTATTGGTCATTTTGAAATATATTTTACATATTGATAATATATAGCGCAGTGCAGTGTTGATTTAAAGAAAATAATCTTGAATTACACCAGTGAACTAAAATTTTACGGGTGACATGGGGTGACTTCTCTTCCACCCCAATGCCTTCTCTTTTCCCTTCTCCTCCACCCCCATTCTAATTCCTATCATCATCATCATCAACCAGGAGCCTTCTACATGCACACATCAAAGTAAGTGTACTTTACTGCATTAATTTTTCGTTTGTATGTAATTTTTGGTGAGCTGGAACCAATTACCCAAAAACCCATTGAAACAATGGTTTCGGTTAACGAGCAGCCTTCTGGAACGAATTGTGCTCGTTAACCGAAGGACTACTGTACAATGAATACTTCTTCATACTTGATGAACATACAGGCATCTCTCTCTATTGTTTTAGGTTTCTTGAAAACCATTCGGTGATCCAATTTTCAGACAATAAGAGGTTGATATGCGTGTCTTCCATGATGCAAAATAAAGCACCGACTAAGCGGGGGTTAGGAGACGCCATATCATGGCTGCCCAGCTGATTACAGTGCATCACCCAGTGAAATCAAACCACCCAGTTTAATTCGTGCCTTAAAAACAAAGAACATCTGTCGACATGGATAGCAGTGAAGCATGCATCATGTCAGCGTGGATAGCATGAAAGCGTGTATCATCTGTTTGTGTGGATAGCAGTTTAAATTTTAAATCTGTCGACCATAACCTGCTGAGCTTCACCAATGAACATAACAATCTCATCCGAAATTCTTTTAAAATCTGCAGACATGCTTTTAAATGTTTCTTTTGCCTCCTCTGCTGCTGACCTCACAGACTCACAGGTTTGTTTAAATTGCTTCCTTGAGCCATTGATCTGCTTTAGTTTGGCTGTGTGCAGTTCCCCCTGTCGTCGGTTATCAACTGCCGCGTAGCACTCCTCTCTCTCAGTGGTGTTTCTCTTCTTTCCTCTTCTGGTAGTGTTCAAGGGTGAGGGATGTGGTGTGTCACTTACTTCAGACCGTGACATAAGAACTAACAAAGGGGAATGAGAAAAAGGGCCATGTGACGTTCCAGGCGTCACTGAACTTGACACAGGAGCTGACGAGGAAGCATGCTGGCCTGTTCGAGGCTGAGTAGCTGACACTGAGCAGCCTGAAGAACTTGGCATTGGTTCTGCTGGTAGGGTATCTGGTAGATGTGCGGCTGGTTCTGCTGGTAAGGAATCTGGTAGATGTGGGGCTGGTTCTGCTGGTAGGGAATCTGGTAGATGTGGGGATGGTTCTGCTGGTAGGGAATCTGGTTGATGTGCGGCTGGTTCTGCTGGTAGGAAGTCTGGTTGATGTGGGGCTTCATATTCAACCCAAGCTGAATGTAACAACAAAATACAAACATTGTTATTTCTAATTCACACTGTAATGTATCGACTGTAAACCTCAACTTCATGAGTCTTGTAAGCAAACTTTAGAGGAGGGGCGTATCTAGTACATACTTATCAACACAATCAATTACTGTATTTCAATATACGTAATCTCCAATAGTGTAATAGACAACTTTTTATTACAACTGCTTTTACAAATACCTCTACCACATCTTATTTAACTCACAATCCCTTCATTATGGGGATGCCAATTTTAATATTTTATTCGGTTCATGACACGTGTATGCAAGGGTTTGTGTGTTATATTTACATTTGTACAAAAAAATTACAATATATAATCTAATAATTTTTATTGGTATCACACATACACATTCACAAGACAAATTTTAATGTCTCGTACCTATGGCAGCTTCAAGCCCCTTTTTCACTTTCTGAACAGCGGCTGTGGCCAATATATTGTACTCGGGTGGGCTAGGTGGTACACCCTCTCCAATGCCTGACTTCTTCACGTGGATATTGACCCTTTAACATTGAAAATAACTTATATATTGGTCACATTCAATAAAAATGGAATAATTTTTTTGGATTATCTGAAGATTCCCCCCCTCCCCAAGCTTATTTCACCCAAAGATTAACCACCTTAACGGTAACCCAACCTCATAACCCAAATAATGTTAGGGTGATTAATCTCAAGGTGAAATAAGCTGGTGGGTAGAATCTTCAGGTGATCCAAATTAACTATGAAAGGGAAACTGATCTAATCTAAGCCATTTGTCGTGAATTGTTCCAAAGGAAAAAAATTCAATATTATCATATAATTTTCTAATAACATCACAGTATTGTGGTTTATACACATATGTGGCTTAATACATAATGCCATGAAAAACAACATTTAAAACATTTATGAAACATCACTACAGTATAATATTTTCCTTTTGTATTCCATGTGTTCCATTGAAATACTGTATAGTGGAAGAAAATATAGTTAATTTAATCATGAAGGAAAGGGCAAACTATATATGAAAACAGGACTAAGAAAACAAATGCAGAGAATAATACACGTACTTACTTTACAAAGATATGTTCCCATGCTTCCTTCAGTTGAGCGATGGACCTTGGCTAAAGATATGGATACGCAGCATTAAATTTGCTCTGTAAATTGGAGCCATGCTTGTTGCTTGTTAGTAATGCTTGCACAGTCACAAGGTTTAACTCGAATATCAGCACTGTGCTCAGAAATGATCGTTTTTTGCTGCTCGTCGGTGAGATGCACCGCTCTTTCCGTTTCCCCCATTACTGTTTGCTTACAAATTCGGTCTGCTGATAGCGTCATTTCCAGGTTGCAGGGCTACCAACCCTTTTAAATAAAGGAATGCATGCGGGGTCGTCCCCATATGAACTGAGCTGACCCCATCACACAACACAATCATTAGAAAGAACCAAATAGCTATGCCGAGTCGGCCACAAGCAAGTGAAGAAGTGTTTAGAGCCGTCCTGACAGTTTAAGTTTGAAAAAATGGACCATGTTAGACAAAAGCATTGACTTATATGATACATTAATCAATATACTCTGAGCACTTGTTCATACTTACTTATTCTGATATGGTGTGAGGGAACAAATGGGATGAACATTTCCACCTGTTGGAGTTTTTGATGGTGAGATTCCCTGCTTCAATGGGTTGTGCTCTCCTAATGGATTACGTTGAGGGGTGCCACCTGTAAATGTGTCCACATCAAGTTTAATTATTATGATTCTTTTAACACTAAAGTCGATAGTGAAAAAAAAAATCATAAAAAATGTAGGAATAAGAAAACAAAACTGAGAAGATCACTTAAAATGTAACCTTACAAAACAAAGAACTTAAAGAAGTAAAGATCAAGAGGAAATATAGGTACAATAACACTAAAAAGAAAGAATGTCACAATTACATTTTTGGTGCAAAAAACAGGTGAAAATCTCAGAAATAAAATACAGGTCCTTGTTTATTCCTAGAAAAGGCCAACTTATATGGAAGTGGCATAAACATATACAGTACTGTATACCGTACGGGTGTCCATTAAAAAGAGGAGTTATATTCCCAGTCCCATAGCTTCACTCCCTCATCCACTGGATTTTATTAAGGAAGTGGCCTTGGCTGGCATAAACAGGACTTAAATATTAGTCCACAGGTCCTAAATTGACTACATACCTGTGAGGAAACCAAGCAGGAGGGAGGAAGCTTATTAGGGATGTTAAGTTGACAACATGGGAGAAATGTGTCTTGTAGCAAAGATTACTTGTGTGTGACATGTTGCCATACAGGAGCAGGGAGAGGAAGGTGTTTGTTCCAGGGAGGAGTGTGTGGAAAGTGAAATAAAAGAAAGTAAAGGAAACATTCTATGCTGCGTAGAGGAGAGTGGAAACAGCCAGTAACAATGAGAAGGGTAGTGACCGGGAAACATCAAAACATGGTCTGTTAAGTGGCTGGACCAAAGGACCAGTCTGGTGTGTAGTAACAAAGTGGTGAAATGATGAATTGGACACTATTATGTGGGATATGGGTGGTGATAACATGTACCGGTACTACCTCGAGGCCAAGTGCAAGGCTCAGAACAATTAACAGGATGCATCTGCAGATACTGTAAGCAGAATAGTGTGCTTGCTAGCTGAATGAGGGATATAGAATAGGAAGGCAGATGTTGGGTTGAAACAAGGACAACTGTGTATATATACTGTACCAATTGCTCCCATGGAAGGTGTGGGCAGGTGGGGTTGTGAGCGCTGCTGCTGCATTGGCTGCTGTTGAGGTCTAGATTTGTTGGGGTCATAATTCACTGGGTCCCCAAGTTTAAGTCCCACTTCCTCACCTGTTCGCTCCAATTTCATCTCAAGTATAATCAGCACCTATAATATAAAGCATCAGTGGACATCCTTATTATGAGAGCAAAACTAAATAAGACTTTCCACAATCAATGTTTATTTTTCCATTCAAATACACAAAAATCAAGAGTAACCAATTTACTAACTTAAAACCTTGGCCAAAAATGCAACTCAGTGGTTACCCAAGAGGAGTAAGTTGATGCTGTACAGTACCGGAGTGTTTTATACCCAAACAGTGGCACCAACTTACTCACCACAGTACTGTACTATACACGGTCCTCACTAGATTACTAGTCCAATATTATACCAAGTCAAGTTTGCAAATATTTAAATACAGAAATGTGTATTGATATACTGCACATAATTATGTATACTGTAGTATTAAATATATTCATGTTCATCGTTTATATATACTGTACTAAGTTGAAAATTATATTCATACAGTACAAGTAGTACATACATAATATATACTACACAAAATACATATGATGAAAGACCTACATTATTCACATATTATAATCTCTTCACATTAGGTACTGTAACTAATTCTATTAAAACTACAGCATTTTAATCACTTCAGAATTATTAGAAGGTAAAAATAAAATACTGTGCAGGTAAAGTAATACTGTACACATCAGGAATCTATGGGACATCAGCTCTCACTTAACCATATTCACTGTACAGTACAGTACTATACGAGAGAGCTAAACTGTACACAAAGTCCATGCAGAGGTAATATAAAACATGTACACGTCCTCACCTTCTTGTTTCCTTGGACAGTATTACAGACGTAACGATTCATCTGAATGATGCAGTTGTTGGTGATCACTCCTTCAGTCACTTTACAATTGAGGTGTGTGGCAAGCATAGCAAAGCTACTTGACCACTCTCCATCTGACACCAGGAGACGGTAGCGTTCTTGAGATCCGGTGGGAATGCGCTTCATGGACTGTATGGAGTACAGCATATATACACTTATGAAGTTCATAAAATATTTGTAAAATTTTTATGTGGTAAAACTGAATTAATAACTAATGTATCCTAACCTAATCTCCCCAAAGTATTAGGGTGGTTAATCTTTAGGTTATGTATGCAGTGAAACCTACCAACTGTGTACTCAGACCATTTCCATAATCTAAACACCCAAAATTTATAACAAAGGGACCAGTCAAACATAGCAACTACCTATTATAATATGTATTTCAATCACTATTTTTCACCTTGTAGCCACTTCCAGTACTGCAATCTGGATGACACACATTTCAGGTATTGTGAAGCACAGTACAGTACTGCAAGGAGCACAACATATCCAGGTTAGCCGAGCATCTCAATATAAATAAATAATAGAATTACCAGAATTATGAGGCACCGATAACATACGACAAATCACTAGCCAGACTCAAACCCCTAATTCTAGCTGGATTCGTAAAATGCTACTCCCGACTAATATGTTAACGTGGGCAATCCCCGGTGGAGGTTCACGGCTGATGGTGAAAAATGACAGAACAGAACTCTCAGTGAAACATAAAGTCAGATTAAGCCCTTTTGTTGTCCTTATGGCGAGGTGTGCAGCGATCCTGTGAGTCAAGGTTTTGAGTCCCACAGAGTATTCCCCATCAGAGCAAATAAATAAATAAATGCAATCTATATGTGTGTGATAAATGAACTGTAGAGAAAAGTTTATAACATGCCTACCAAGATCTGGAGTATTGTCTTCTAAGTGAGCCCCCTCAATGATGTCCTATACATTTCTCAGTAGGTATTCATTTAAGCACAGTACAGGCACCTGAATACTTAATTACATGCATTCTGATCTTACTGTCTACAAGAATATTGGTGTTAGTTTCATTTACAACCACGTATATAATATACCATGATCTTCTCACCAATACTGTAGTACATAAAATGGCTTTTTAGATATGCTTACCGCATGATCACCTGAAGAATCTCCACCCCAACTTATTTCACCTTAAAGATTAACCACCTTAATGCTATTTTGGGGAGTTTAGGATAGGCGTTGCATTTAGTGCATGCAATCTCAGGTAAAATAAAACGAGGTGAAGATTCTTCAGTAGAACTTTAAAATACATAGTACTGTTACAGCGTAGTATATATATATATATATATATATATATATATATATATATATATATATATATATATATATATATATATATATACAGTATTAGGTAAAACTACATAAGAAATGCAGTAGTACTATAACGCCACCAGCCTTGACCCATCAGAACAAATGGCGGACAATTAGCGGAAGCAATTAAAGGTACGTGACCAGAAAAATAACCTCTGCCTATTTTCAAATACAGTACAGTATAGTACACACAGGTTGTCGTGATAACCTAATCCGAGGTTTCTACAAAACAGTATACAGTTTAACTTGTTCTGATCACCAACCGGTGTGTGACTCTTGTCTTTAACCCGCACATACAGACGATTTTTTTTTATATAAATTATGGCTAAGACTTTGTCAGTTTAAGTTTTGCAAGATGTACAAGCATCAAACAGCTGATTACGGTTTTCTTACCTTCATTTTATAACACTCAACAGTAGTGGTCCTGCTTTAGTGACCTCATGAAATTTCTCTGTAAAAAGACATAAGCTTTTCTACCTCAAGAGATGTACAAAAAATACAAGTGGAATGTTCTTTATGAGATAGAGAAAAATATAAAAAATCATATAAGTGAAGTGACACAAAATATATTCCTCCTGCATTTTCTGTATGTTTCTCAACGTTAGAAAGCGTTTATCTTTATGGAGAAACTTCATCTGGTTGCTGCTAAGTCCGGACCACTCTCATTAAATTTTACGTTACCTTCCAGTTTGCCAATTTTTTTTTCACCCTGAACATGAATCCCCGTTCAACTGACACCATCGTGCTTGTTTACATAAATGCTTTCAGAGTCCATTTTTTAAACAAACACCTCCATTAAAAGCTATATATATGACCTATCGCTAGACACATAACGAGATTTATCTGCACAACTTGCCTCCAACTAATATATTTCACATTAGTAGTTCAGGTTAAGTGAAACAGTTCAAGTTAAAATTCGGAAAAGATCGACCACAGAACTTTATACTGTATTGATACAGGTATTTGTAAAAAAAAAAAAAATATTAAGTTACCTTCTCAAATTTGCATTTTTTTCATTTTGGGGAGACTTTTCAATTCGACTTTCCAATATGACCTGTTAATGTACTGTACCAATATGACCTGTTTGTGTACAAGATGACCATATGTTCTCTTAATATCTAAGATGAGGGTAATTTATGAGGAAACCACAACCTCCAGAAGGAGTTGTTCGATTTCTTATATTTTTTCCACAGATGTTCTTATCATTACAGTGAGTATTTTTGAAGAGGCGAATTTTTTTTTAGTTTTTCTCTATTTACCACAAATCACCTGCAGTGGTCAAGGCACGAAGAACGAGGGAAATTGTGGGGCAAAACACGGTGAAAATTAATCACGACACTGAAATGATGCTTTCGTTTGCACGCTGAGAAATTAATTATTTACCATAAATGTTCCAAAACCTGCCAAGTCACCACTTGCTGTCGTCTGCTCAGTTTGTTTCTAACTGACCCTTTCGGCTTCAGTGTACTCTCACATCCAGAAAAAAATAAAATTACACCATGATGCTTCAACAAAGTTGCTTTCATTGGTACAAGATATCAAAATGAGTACTTTCTGTTTAATATGGCGGGGGATCTCCCCCGGCTAGAAAGTTAGGTAAACTTAGGTCACAGCTCAAGGTTGAAGAAGCTGCAAGTCCAGAAAATTAAGAGGGAAAACTTTTTGGGTGAGTTGTGAACTGTTGGAACAATCTGCCAGAGAGTGTTGTGACGGCACCGAGTGTGAGATCTTTCAAGACCAGACTTGACCAACACTGGAGCAGGTTCAGGTACATTCAGGAGCCAGTGCATGCCCAGTACTTGCCAACAGTGCGTAACAGAGACGTGACCGATCACTTAAAGCTGATCAGTGGTGAAGAGGATAAAAGGGGTCTGACTAATTACCCAAATGTACCCAAAAGTAGCTGCAATGAAGTCAAATAATGGTCCTACATGAATAAATCAGACTGCCAATCACTTCTCGACTAGTATTTGGTGTCACAAAGTAAAAAAAAAAATTGGAAAACTTAATTTAATCGAGTTAATAGATGAGGTACATGTACCTAACCTAACCTAACCTCGACTAGTATTTGGTGTAACGAGGTCACAAAAAATTGGTAAACGTAATTTAATCTGAGTTAATAGATGAAGTGCATGTACCTAACCTAACTTAACCTAACCTAACACAACTCAGATTAAATTAAGTTTACCAATTTTTTGTGACTTTATGACACCAAATAATAATTGAGAAGTGATTCACAGCCCGATTTACGCTTGGAGGACCATCATTTCACTTCATTGTGACTACATTTGGGTTCATTTGGGTAATTACTCGTTCCCTCGGTACAAGCACGCAATCTATTAACTCAGTTTAAATTAAGTTTTCCAATTTTTTTTTACTTTGTGACACCAAATACTAGTCGAGAAGTGGTTGGCAGTCCGATTTATTCATGTAGGACTATTATTTGACTTCATTGTGGCTACATTTGGGTAATTAGTGGACGGAATAAAAGTAAAAATTTAGGTTAGGTTCTATTAAGTTCTAGTAAATGTCACCTCATTTAAAATAAGCAGTGGATATTTTGCCGTAACCAGTAAGTTCCTACTAGCGCTATTTTACCGTCAGTGTGCTCTCATTGGCTAATCGTCCATTACCGGCATTTGGCATTTATTTCGCCTTGAGTTGATCACTGTGTAGCTGTAAACATACCTAACCATATTTCTGTTGGGCATGGAAACTTATCATTATAAAAGAGGCGACATTTACTAGAACCTAATAGAACCTGACCTAACCAACCAAAGAAACTTACCTAACTTCCTATAGCCAGGGGCCAGACCATCCATCATATTAAATAGAAAATACTTATCCAATCAAAACGAACTCACGGTAAAATAGCATTAGTAGGAACTTAAGGTAACAGCAAAATATCCACTGAGTCAATATATCAAACAAGCCATAACATGAAAAAACCAATGATTATCAAACAATGTAAATAATACCCAATTAAAATCATAATTCCTACAATAAAACATCAAAAGCATATACAAAATAATATAATACACACAATAATATTAAAGAAAATACTAAAACACAATAAACGTGGCTTTGATCTGCTCTAGCTGGAAACAAAAACAACCCCCCTCTATATTTTACCCTTATTTAACAACCTTTAACATTTAATATACTACAACCACATTGATATTAACTTACTGCAACAACTCCTGTACTTAGTCCCGTCATCTTGGTTGTAGATTGGGTTTATTTGAAGAAGTTATGAGGAAGTATAGATTGACGTGACTATCTCCCTCACTCAGGTCACAACACGACTTTTGGCGCGAGAACGGAGGGGGAGGGAAGGGGTGTGGGGGAGGGTTGGAGTGGAGGGGAGGGGTTGGGGGTGAGGGTAGGGGAGTGTGTTGGGGGTGAGGGTAAAGGGGTGTGTTGGGGGCAGTGTTAGGGGAGTGGGTTGGGGGTGAGTGTAAGGGGGGATGGGGTTGGGGGGTTAGGGTGAGGGGGGAGGGGGTTTGGGGTGACGGTGAGGGTGGAGGGGGCTGGGGGTGAGGACAGTGTTGCCAACTCGGATTTTCAAATGTCGCTAGGCTGGTACCTAGAAGTAGCTAAATGTCGCTAAATCTTCCATGGAAAGTCGCTAGCTATTATTCCCAAGTTTCTTGAATGGTAAAATTGTCTGTCTTTCTGCACTAAACGGCTCTTCTGCTTTCTTGTGTTTTTTTTAGTGTTTTTGTGTTTTTCAATGTCGCACAACTTAGCAGACAAAGTACACTTGCAATATTTACAAAATCCTTTTTTATTATCTCCTGGCACCTCCAGAAGCCAATTTTTGTATCTGTCATCTCTGAGCCATTCCTTCCTAAATCGCTGCGAATACTGTGGCTTACCCATTTTCTATTGGGACTATGAAGGGTTCAAATTAATAAACAGCATGCAAACAAGCGGAAACTTTCCTTGATGGTTTTTGGCAAAGCGGGTGAACAGTGTCGGGGCAACTGTATGGAGTCTATGGGCCACCCATGGTGGACGCGGATGACAAGTTTGGAACTACGCAGGGTTGATAGAATTAATTCTATAAGATGTTTTGCTAATATTCTTTAAAATTTAGCGTATTAATGAAATTCATATTGCATATCTGACAAAAAGGTAAGTTACCCAGGTGCTACAAAGGCGAAGGTAATAGACAAATAAATGACGACACGGCAACATTAGCCATGGACGGGCTGACATCAAGTGATCAGGAAATAGACCTGTCCCTCCTTCTGTACCACGACCCGTTCAAATGTATTAAACTTTTCTTATTATTTATTGTCCCTGTAACCCCGTTGCTATATATTATGGCTCGAAATTAGGAAAACTGAGTTTTCATGGACAGTCCAAAAGTATCCAGAAAGTCGCTAGATTTCTGTGGATATCTCTAGGTTTGCGACAAGTCGCAAATCGCTCTAAAATGTCGCTAGAACAAAACAAAAAGCTCAAGATTGAAGAAGCCGCAAGTCCGGAAAACCGTGAGGGCAAACTTTTTCGGAGTGAGGGTTGTAAACTCTTGGAACAATCTACCAGAGAGTGTTGTGACGGCACCGAGTGTGAGCTCTTTCAAGAGAAGACTTGACCAACACTGGAGCGGGTCCAGGTACACCCAGGAGCCGGTGCATGCCCAGTATTTGCCAACAGTGCGTGACAGAGACGTGACCGATGGCCCAAGCGGCTAACAAGCCGATCAGTGGTGAAGAGGATAAAAGATGAAAAGATAGATCTAGCTACAAAGTCGCTAAGTTGGCAACTCTGGGTGAGGGTAAGGGGGCGGGGGGTTGGGGGTGATGGTAATGGGGGAGGGGGAAGAGAGGGGGTTGAACGAGAGAGGAATATGAATGTCAATAAATTTTTTAAACTAAAAAAAAAGTATAGTATGGGGGATAAGATGTTTTTAAAAATTATGAGGTTATTAGATGTGAAGGGAAACATTGAGGGGATAGAAAGTGTATCAAACAAATTAGCAACATTGTTTGACTATTATAGATTTTCAGTCTCGAACTTGACATAATAAAAATACATCTATTCCACATAATAATCGTATAGATCTATATTAATCCACAACATAAATAGATAATATAATATACAAACAATCAATATATTAGAGATTAAAGAATTATTAAATCTTATTATTTGTACAACTACACACTTGTATTTCGTAGATAATAAACTAATATTAAACTAAAATGACAACTTTACTGAATAAATATATCCATATCTATCTATATCTATCTATCTATTATATCTATACGGCGAGAGAAATAACTATCTCACACTAGTAAACATCATGGCAGAGTATGGAGCACACATCACCATCACAGCCAAAGACAGACCTTCAATATTTGATGTAGTGGCTCAAGATGGCCTCATGTCCACCTTACAACCAGCAGTTAAACATATAATGAAGGTAATAGTATCAATTAACATTATATTTATCCATTATATATTGTAATAATCCCATAAATTCATCCTCTTGAGTCTGAAGGAAGGGAATGAGTGTCACCATATTTCATGTTTTTTGTTAATTTATTCATATAATAATTGATGTCATTTAAATGCCTTGTGCATAATAGTGATTGAGGTAAAGATTCGTGTTAGGTCTAGTATGGAATTTTATATTTCTATTTATAGTGGAAGAAAGAGCACAAAAAAAAATTAGTTGATACTGGCTGCTCGAAGTGGTCAGGGCTTTGAAATAGAGGGAAAATGTGGGGTAAAATACTAAAAGGAACACCAAACAAACCTTGGGAAACCTTACCTAACCTATAAAAAAGTTAAATTGCTTTGGAACCTTTCTCATCTAAACACCGAAAGCAAGTGGCGAAGAGGATAAAAGTATTAACTTTGGTAACTAAAGCAATCTTAGTTTAGGAGATAGTTTTTCCACATCACACTGGTACATTCTTTATTACTTGTATTGTACTTTTAGCCTCTTCACCACTGATCGGCTCGTTCGCTGCTTGGGCGATCGGTCACATCTTTGTTACGCACTGTTGGCAAGTACTGGGCATGCACCGGCTCCAGTGCAAATTCACTTTATTTTGTCAACTCGTCCAATTACTAGGCATGTAGGTAAGCATTGTATCAACTGAATACAGTAATCTATTCTGCATGACAACTTTGCAAGCTTGTAGTTATGTCTCCTTGTGTTGGTGGTGCATGACCTGACCTAACCTAAGTCCTTGTAACATAGTTACTTAGGGTGAAATTGGCTGGAGTGTCTGATCTTCAGGTGAACCCAGTATTATATTATGATTATTTTATTTATAAACAATCAAAATAAGTACAGGTATTAGATTTTATTGTCGTTATTATTATTATGATTATTTTTATTTTTATTGTCATTATTGTTAACGAGTTCCTTGGTATTTCAGGTAATAGCAGAAAGCAACCCTGAGAAACATGGATGGTGTCTCAAGTACAGTGGTGAAATATTTATGGTATTTGATCTTGTTATACAGCATCACTACTTATCCAATTATGGTGAGTTGACTTTTTTTATTTATATTTTATATAATTTTCACCACTTTTCAGCTTACTAGCCATGCAGGCGGTTGGTCTATCCAGTGTTAGTACAGGAGGAAACCAGAGGCTGGGAACCTGTGATGCTTGGTAGGGTTACACTGGATAACATCCTTCTCATGTGTGTCTGGGCTCAAACCCTTGACATATTGGTGAGAGATGAGTGCATTACTGCAGCACCACCAACACACCTGTTGTAGAAGAATACCTCTGCTAATTGTTTATTAAACCTACTATTGCCTGTCAACCCTTCCCTTGGCTTTATCAAAACTGACAGTGGGTTGGGGATGTCATGCACTACACTAACTTATTAACCTGTGTAATTGGATATTTGTTCCAGAAATCAATAAAAACATAAGTTAGTACTTTAGTATCTCTCCTAACAGCACAGTACCACTTGTTGAATAGTATTGAGGATGGGTGATGCTGGGTTGTATGAGGCAGTGGGCAAATCTGGTGTTGATCTTAAGAGTTGTGTTGTGGAAGAGTAGCATTATGGTAGTACAGTATAGAGTTACAGCAGTCAGAGAGGAGGAATGACAGTGAACGATGGGAGAGGTTGTGTTGGTGTTGATCTCAGCCACCCAGCACCAATAGAAGAGGCTGGTTATGTAAAGGGAATTATTGTAGTGAAGCGACTCAATTCAGCAGATGGTTGTGGTTGGATGAATGTTTGGTTACCTGCTCCTGTTGTACACACTTTAATGTTTATCAGTGCCACCATTTATTAGCTTACTGACCATTTGGAGGATTGATCTGTTCTTTGTTACTTTGTAATGTTTTCATTGTCCAGTTTGTGAGCACCTGTTCCCAACTGATTTCATAATAAGTTATGAAAGTGGGTATTTGCTCCCAATAGTGCAAATAACGATTTCGGTAATAGTACTGTACCCGATTTTCGCAATGATAAACCGATCCCCTTGAGGACAAGAATTTGAGTGCAAATAATTAAACCATTACTGTATTTGCACCCGAGATTTCAACACTTATCAAATAATATAAAATTTTGCACTGACAAAGCTAGGGTGTAGATAACAGTTTTACTATCTCTTACACAAACCAATAGGTAAGGTTAGGTAGGCTTGTATAGTTAGGTTCCAGATACCAAAGTAAGTTCTTTCTGCTTAATGTGACGGTGGTTCCGGCCCCCCCAGCTAGGGAGTTATGTAGGGTTAGGTCTGGTTCTGTATCTTATATCAAAGTATATGATAATGAAGTAGATAATGTATGAGATAACTTCAATTTTCACAATTTCATTGTAAACATTGATGAATACAGAAAGTGGGTACAAATAACTTCAGTGATCTTTTTACTATAATTTAAATAGTTATACATGTCTTTTTCATCTTTCTTTTCTTGGATATGATTTGGTAATATCAGGTGTAAATGGGTGCAGTAATTTGTACCTGAATTTTGCTGTGACACACCTCGGGTGCAGATAAGTTTCACTCTCAGTACCCGATACCTTAATGGCGAGGTTTGGGTGCAAATGCCTTCAACCATAAGTTATAGTAAATAGGTGGAAATTTAGATTAATATACATGGTATATGCTTAAGTTTAATACATACCCCTGTACAGTATATATTTTTGGTTTACGAGAACACAGTTTTAAATGTGTGTTGGTTCATTCTGACAGGTGCATCATTTGCTGAAAATTTCTACGATCTCAAGAGAGTTCAGCTGAAGGCAAACGGAAGCATAAAACCACTAACTCTGTCTAATGAAACATACACGAAGTCATTGTTAGCACTTGGGGCTTTCCCTTACCTTCGCAGTCAGATGGACAGTGTTTATCAGGATATACAGGAGAAGGATGCAGATGGTAGACTGTCAGAGGAGGTGAGATACTGTTCTCATGAATTATAAATTATGACACTATTTCCAAGGAGGTTTGTGTGTATAACCAGAGCTAAGTGCATTACCTATGTACAGTCCAAGGTAGGTAGATAACAGGTAGCCTCACACAGGCCCATAGGAATTCACTAATTGGCAACTCTACTCTCGAGATCGCTAAGCCACGCCCCTTTTGCCACTTCATGCGTTTGTAATATTGAGGTATTATTATCTGCTTCTACTGTTTGATGTAACTAAGTGGGCGGAACTTAATAAGTGATGTCATCACTAGCCAATCAGCGACGTTGGATGAAATCCAGCGGTCGCAAGTAAGATATTTATATTTATTTAATATATTTAATCAGTGGCTCCAGTTAAAATAAAACAAAAAAATCTCCATTCTGTACATTTATTGTACAACTTTTAATACCATCATAAGCCTTCAAAAATACGTAAATAAAAATTTAATTTTTATTTTCATTAGCGTAGATCCTATGGGAGTGAGGCTACCTGTTATCTACCTACCTTGTGTACAGTCAGCCACAAATGTCCTGTTCTCTCTCCTCCTGAATCACAAACCCCAAGATTCAGACTCATGAATCTGAAGCATTTATGAACAGAATGCATCAGTGTCTGGTGCTTCAGGTTCACAAGTCTGAATCTCAGAGTTCATAGAGAAGCAGGGACCTTCATGGGTGACTGTACCAGAGGCTTAAAATATACTTGTAGTGTGTTGTTGAACCATGAATTAAGATGTCTGTCGTGCACTTGATATTTATTCTAAGGTGGCCATGATAGTAAGTGATAAGCTACACATGAAACTATACCTGTTGTGTTTGCTGGGGAGTTCCATAGAAGCTTTTCTAGTAGAGAATAATGTAGGTGTACATCTGGTGAGTAGAACTTAAATGCCTCACTGTAGCTGTTTAATATCTCTCCTATGAGTTGTGCTGTCATAGTAAAAATATGAATTTCATATCTCCGTCTCCTTCATATCTTATAACTGGCTTCAGATACCAGATTCTCCGCGGAACCGATAATAAGTTATAAGTGAGATTGAAATTGGAAGTCCAATTTTATAGCCAATCAGTGACAAGGAAACTCAGAACCTTCCCATCTTTGAGTGACAAGTTTGCCTGGGCTGATGATTATTACAGAAAATCTAAAATGACATTGCTGACAATGGAGGACAAGGGTATGCATGATACTATGGCACCAAGACTTGTTTAGAATACAGTATTAAAATTTTTCTACATTTGGGTGACTTATATTTCCAAAGCTTTTTTTGGGTGATGGCCATAATGGAAGGTTATGACATAATATCTACTGGGGAACTTCCAGGGCTGTAACCCTCTCAACTTGAGGTGTACAATGTATCATTCATATTGTTACTTACTGCCTTGTGTTGTAAATGGGATGTCTGGGATAAGGTAAGTCCATCATTTCTCCATAGATTAGTTGTCAAGATTGTAGATTAAGTGGTCCTCAATCCTGCCAGACCCTATTGTAACCTAACCTAGCCATTGAGATTGAGCACCTTTAGAACCAGTACATTAGGATTGGACTCCATAGTACTGGGTGCCAATTCTAATTGTTAGATTGGGGCTTATTTGACCAGTTACTCATTTCGCACACACAATCATTAGAGATTTCGTGTACAGTGTTACTTAATAGACAGAAATATGACATAGTGAAACCTCCATATAATCCATTTGATGGAGGTTTCACATCTAATGAACCCTCGATATAATGGACTTTCTTCTCCATATATTCCATTAAATAGAGTTTCATTGTATACTTAGCTAAAGACCTCTCTCTATATATACAGTGGGGTATGCTATAACGAATCTAATTGGTTCTAGAACCTCGTTCGTTATAGGATTAATCCGTTCCAGACCCCCAAATACAACCACTTAACACTGAAAAAATTCTGTGGAAAATGTAAAAAATACGGTACTTTATCTTACCTTAGTGTTGTTCAGCATGCAGGACAGGAGGCAGAGGGGGAGGGGGGAGGAGAGAATTATGGAGAAGAGGTGGAAGGAGAGGAGTCATCGTTCCTAGCCCTCTTTGGTGACTGTCTCACAGGCACTTTGTCTGTAGGGTCTTTTGTTGCCTTTGTAAAGAAGGAATCCAGGGTTGGCTGCTTCAACCTTGATTTCTGGACCTTCCAAAAGTAGTTCATAACATTGTCATTAAACACACTGATGGCCTTTTGCACAGAACCAACATCAGGATGATAATCCTCAGCAAGTTTGGACAGTTTGCTCCAGCAAAAGAACGCATCCTTGAGATCTTTGGCTGGAATGATGCGGCTTTCCTCCTTGTCCTCCTCCTCCCCTGACTCCTCAGAAGTTAAGCTCCGCTTCAGTGTCTCGTTTTGTTCTTTGTGAAGCTCAAGCAGCTCCTCAGTGGACAGTTCCTTACTGTGCTCTTCCACCAACTCCTCAACATCATCATCATCCACTTCCAGGCCCATGGAATTGCCCAGAGACACAATTTCATGAACAACAGCCTCTTCTTCTAACTCTTCGAAGCCTTCAAAGTCTCTTTGAAGGACACATTCAGGCCACAATGGCCTCCAAGCAGCACAAAGACACCTCACAGTAACCTCTTTCCAGGCTGAGGTAATTAAAAAAACAGCGTCTGCTATATTGAAGTGACTCTTCCAAAATTCCTTCAAGCTAACATCACTGGAAGAAGTGGATGCAAAACATTTTCTAAACAGTGCCTTTGTGTACAGCTTCTTAAAGTTAGAAATTACCTGTTGATCCATGGGCTGGATGAGAGGTGTTGTGTTGGGTGGCAAGAAGTGCACAGAGATGAAGTTGAACTCCTCTGGCAATTCAACCATCAAATTAGGAGGGTGGGCTGGTGCATTGTCCATCACCAACAAAGCTTTCAGTGGAAGATTATTCTCCCTGAGGTATTCCCAAACACTGGGTCCAAACACCTCAATCACCCACTCAGAGAATAAATTCCTGGTCACCCAAGCCTTTGGGTTTGACCGCCACATAACACCAAGGTGGGTCTTCCTAATGTTTTTGAAAGCTCTGGGGTTTTCTGCATGGTACACAAGGAGTGGCTTTATTTTGCAGTCACCAGAAGCATTAGCACAAATAAGGAGGGTAAGCCTGTCTTTCATTGGCTTATGGCCAGGGACAGAAGTTTCCTCCTTGGTAATGTATGTACGGCGAGGCATTTTTTCCCCAAAAAGTCCAGTTTCATCACAGTTGAATACCTGCTGAGAAACAAAGCCTCCCTCTTTAATAACATTAAAAAAAATGTCATGGTGTTCCTTAGCTGCTTCCTTATCTGCACTGGCAGCATCACCATGTCTCACAACACTATGTAATTTATTTCTCCTTCTGAAACCAGTAAACCACCCCTTGGTACCCCTAAACACTGGCACATCACTATCACTTGCACTGGGAGTCTTGGCTTTAAGGTCCTCAAACAATTGTCTGGCCTTCTCACAAATTATAGCTTCACTAATGCTATCACCTGCCATTTCTTTCTCCTTTATCCACACTAAGAGTAAATTTTCTGTCTCCTCAATCACATTACACCTTGCTTTGCTAAGTCTAGAGATTCCCTTAGCCACTTGCACAGTTTTCAACTCCTCTTTATTCTTTAAAATCATACATATACAGCGTAGTCGATTTAGCCATCCCATACTCATCACTAAGTTTTGCAATGCTTGTTCCATCCTCACGTTTCTTTATGATTTCTTTCTTAGGTTCAAGAGTTATGAGCTTTCTCACTCGCTTTGGACGATTCATTGTCACAATTGTACACTTGTATAACAAAATATTTATACAAATAACTCTATTTCCACATCAAAAGACGAAATTTCAACAATAACAGTGGTGCACTGGCTACACAATGAGACAAAGATGGCACCTGACGCTCTTGTTGTGGGTTGCGGTACAACAACATTCATGCGCCAGGCGAAATAGTCCTGTATTCATCCGCGTTCGTTATAGCATTCTCAATTTTATAGGTAAAACCGTTCGTTTTAGGAATATTCGTAGTAGGATCCGTTCGTTATAGCATACCCCACTGTATATTGTAATTATCACTGTAATCGCTCATAGGAGCGACCTTGGCTTGTGCAGGACAACAAGACCCTTGTTGTTGACGCGATGCGTATAATTTGGTCAAAACCTGTTGAATACAATTCACACATAACAACTGCTGGTACATCAGGACACAGTTTGAATAATATTATCAATATACAGTACATAATTACACTTATTAAAATTATTTAGAGTTCTCAGAGGATTCAACAGTTCACAATCACATTCACGTTTTGGGGTCTAGGGTTAGACCAACGAGAACAAATATAATGTCCTGCGGTAAACTGTTGTGGGCGAGAATCAAGATGTTGCCTTTACAATAGACGACGGTAGACTGTCCCTCTGCTACAAGCTTCATCTCGCTCAGCAACATGTGGCTGATGCGCCATTTAACACCTCAGCAAAGTTCGTTGTCAACACTGTTTCTCCTCTCACCCTTTCTCTCTCTCGTCTAGTTTATCTTATTGTGGCGGTAACAATCACTATATCCCCACACACGTATATTCAGGACCTTTTCTCATCTCACATGTCATAGACCTCCAGTAATTAACAGCTGCATTTCAGGGTTGGAAGGTTAAGATACAGAAGGTGGTGCTGAAGGTGTGGCCTCTGCTGCACCTCTCATGGGAGTTATTAACACTTATATATTATATCAGGTAAGGCTTGACCAAATACTGTACTGTAATTGATTTTACTTTATATGCAACTTTTTCATTTTATTTTTTATTTTTTTACAATTTAAAATAGTGTTATAGTGTACTGTACTTGTATTTATCAGTTCAATAAAAGATTTCAGGACTTTTTTTGTCAGCAATGAAATATGAGTGACATGATTTCCTTTGGCAGGTATTTGATAGGAAGGAGCAGATTCCATAGTCCACTTCTGCTACTGACTGGAGTTCGTCTGGCAAATCTCGACAAGGAAGATTATGAAATTATCGATGCAAGGGCAGAACAGTTGTTATCCTTCACGAATGTCAGGTAAGGCATTAATGGTCTACAAGTATGACAATGTCTCTGGCTCCAATGGCCCTTTGTATCAGCCACTGAAGGGCTTTACGTATCTGTTGCTAAAGAAATCAAAGAGATTCTGTCACCAATAGCATCATCATCATCATTGTTGTTATATGGTAAAGTTCTTTATTAGTTTTAAAGCCTTTATTAATAGATAAGCATTTGCATTCACTTGTGTTCAGTCAACACACACATGTTCTCATTTACATATATTAACCTATCATATCTCTTATTTACAGTACATTTAATACAGTGTTAACCTTTCATTTGTATTTGTTGCAGAAGCCTACAGGATCTTGGACAGTGGTTGATGGAGCAGGTTGGTTCCTCCTTGATGAACTCTCTGGAAGTTGGGGCGTTTTTCCTACAGTTTCTGGATTGGTTTTATTCCAGTGGCAATACTCCGAGATCCCTCATGACTCGGCCCATCCCGCCACCACCACAGGTTTAGTATTATTCTTAACTCCTTCAGTATGGAGACATCACTTCTATTTTATTTGGCTAACACCAGATGATTTTATTCAGCTCAGAGGGGCCCAATAGAAAAGGAATTCAGTTAAATATTCATATGGTAATATTATACAGTGCAATTCCTTTTATCCGAACTCATCAGGACCAATGATGTTTAGATGCAATAATTAACTTTAGGTCAAAATTCGGTTTGCGATACCTTGACTCGCTGGGAATGGGAAAAAACTGGGGATGATGTGGCATGTTGCCATTGTTACATGTAATGAAACTATAAAAGTTGTAGAATAATCATTAAAATACTCTAAAGTGGCTTACAGGTAAAGGAAATATATAAAACTATAAAATAAGAAAAATGAAGAGTCTGGGTGTGTTTGTGTGGGAAGTGAATGTATGCATAAACTCGTGGAGGCAATGGGCTGTAACTGCGTTGCCGACTCCCCCCCCGTGTGACATTGTGACATCATGGCATACACACGTCTTGGAGTCAAGTGGGCGACTGTCCGGCTGAACTGTCGCGTCGCCCTGAGAAGGGTTTGAGTGTGGAAGGAGCCATTTTTTGTACATAAAATATGTGCTATAGTATTGTATTTTATGATATGTATTAGCCAACACCTTTCACCAACCAAAAGCCCAGCACACTTGTAAACAAAGCTGTTATAATGCCACTGGTGGCAAGCACACGAATGAATGACTTCAGCTACATTTGGATTGTTAGACTAAATTAGAATTTTTACCGAATGGTGCAAAGTTCAGATACCTGGAAGATTTTGATAGTTGAAGTTTGGATAAAAATAATTGTACTGTATAACCTTTTATGGGGTTTTCTTTTTCTGAAATATTATGTTGTTTCTTCATGGAACTGTTGTTTATGATTGGAGGTCTAGATATATTTGTACAGCCACTGAAACATTATTCGGCACCCTTGTCATATTGTATCACGCTGTAAGGGTGCCGAATAATTTTTTTTTTTTTGGGTGTACACACCAAATAGACTAAGTGTTGTAGAACACTAATATAGTTGGCAGATGACATCATAAGTGCACTAAGACTTTAATAAAGGTTAAGTGTATTTGTTCAACCTAACTCAATGCATTTTAAGGTCATTTAACTTAAGAATCTTTGAGAATCCTCATCTACAATAAGGTCATCACTTATAAGATAGTGAAGCAGGTTGTATATTGGACATCTCACAATTTGTATTTTCTGATGTTTTTGCTACATTGTGTGACTAAAAAATATTGCCTATCTGGATAGCTTTCTGCATTTGTGTAAACATAAAAAGATAGTTTAAGGTTATGTTAGGTAAACTATTGAAGTCAGTTCTCTGTGTAGGGAATTATGAAGTGCCTTTTCATCAAGAGCAAGTAATTTTCAGTCAGACAGATGTAAAAAATATAAGAAGTTAAGCACTGGTTCATCCATTGTTTGTCAAGTATTAAGTAACTAAGATTCGTTGAAGTTACTGATACATCAATGACTGCAATACGTCATATTTATATGTAGGAATATGTTGACTTGCTTTATTAGTTATATTCTATATGAATAGGTCTGTTCTTGCTGAATAATATGTTCGTTTCAGACTGCAGGGATACAGAGCATTAGTGGCCTGAAGACTGAAGACTGTCCAATATGCTTCAAGACTAGAAAACAAGATACTGTCTTGTCTGTGTCAGGGTAAGTCTTATAACATCTTGTCACACCCTTGTTGCCTATCATTTCATAAGTGTTTAAATACTGGCAGAAGTGGCAAGGAAACACATCTAGAGAACAGTCAAGGACACTATTTTAAAGTTTATCAAATTATGTTAATAGTTATGTATTGTAACCAGTTGCAACTGTATTCAAGTTATGTACAAAAATGTCTTCTATGTTGTTTGAGTTTTTTTAACTGGTCATGATGATCTTACAGGTACGTCTTCTGTTATAGCTGCATCTTACCCTATGTGAGGCGTGAAAACAAGTGTCCAGTGACGGGATATCCAGCATCTACTACTCAGGTCATCAGAATATACCAAGAAATATAATTAATTATGATGAATTAGTGCCATTATTAATATTACTGAAATGAATTATAATGATGTATGTGATATTGATGTACAATACTGTACATCAGAGCGAACACAGGTTACCTCCTGTCCCAAAGGTTGCTAGTTCATCCTAGGGCTCCCCACAGTTTAGAAGTGAAGGCAGCTCAATGCAGTGTTAGCCCATATGGCATGTTTTCCCATGATGCAGAGAATGTCTTTGCTATAGTCTGTTCACGCAAACTTTACAACTGAGGCCTAGGGTCAGTGTGTAGCAAGGCTGTTGATTGTTTAGTGGATGGACATGTGAAGAGTCACTACAGTTCATTATTATTTAATATATCATATTTATATTATGATACTTTAAGGGATAGTAACTTTTCTGTGTTGATCTCTGATAATTTCTGCACTTAGGGAAGCACAAATTAGCCTGTCAAAATGCACTGGATGAATAAGTGAGTGAGGATGTTGCTCAAATTTTGTAATCTTTTTCTTCTTTATTATAAGTGCAGAAATTATCAGAGATCAACACAGAAAAGTTACTATCCCTTAAAGTATCATAATATAAATATGATATATTAAATAATAATGAACTGTAGTGACTCTTCACGTGTCCATCCACTAAACAGTCAACAGCCTTGCTACACACTGACCCTAGGCCTCAGTTGTAAAGTTTGAGTTAACAGACAAAAGTATAGTACTTACTGAGACTGCCATGTAGTGTGTTTCAGTTAACCATAAGTTTGTTACAGGAGGGCACACAAGTTAAATGTTTTATACATGTCAAAGATTTATATTTTTAACCAAGTACAAAGGTCAAGTAAAAAAATAAAATTGTATGTATAATTTGAGCATTTATTTATTGACCCTTTTATTATTAATATAAAACTTGTATTATTTATAAGTACAAGTTAAAATATTTACCACAATCAAGTAGAGTTAAGACAAAAGTTAACCATAAGGTAGAATGGGTCCCAGCTGTACATCCTCCTCCTCAATCTGACCATTGCTACTGGAGCCAACCCTAATTGTTTGTTAGCTTGAGACATAGGACTGGGGTTACTATCATCACAGACAAATCAAGATTCAAGTATCGTAAACTAAGTTACAGTCTAATGTGAAATCAATCACTACTTGGTACCATAAATTATCTAAAGAGTGCAATGGGCCCCAGTTTTAATTGGCCAAAATACTGATGGTCAGGACATTTTAAGAGCATGAAAGAACAACAAAAATATACTAACTACTGACCCAGCCTGTTTACAGTACAGTCGACAATCATTACTACAGGTCATTATGTTCCCTGAAGATAAAAATGGTTCACACAAGTATTGAAAAGTTTTCCTGCCTTGAATGTTTATGGAATTACTCTAACTAAGAACACACACATTGCACTGCTAGATACTGTGAGCATTGCAAATATAAAACAAACAATTTAAGGGTGTAATTTACTTATCTAATCACAGTACCGTACATGTTAATGGTTCTAAAGATAAGGCACCGTACTACATTCACTGACGAGACTGAAATATTGCTGTTATCCTCTAATACACATTGAAGCGAACAAACTCGATCAACTTTTAACTCACTCCTGTCTACTGTTATAAATAAATATATCCCTAAATTTCAAGTGATGACACCACAATATTTGATTTATAAAATTCTTACATTACAGTACAGGGTGAGCCTTGAATACTTTATACATTTCTCTAGTGTTTGCTTTCCTACTAATACACTCATCCTGGCTTCTATCAGGACAACACATTACAGGTGGTTTGTGTAAAACAGGAAATTGGTGTAAACTGACCATTTAACAAATTTGTTGCAACTGTACTAAAAAATGCATAATAATGTGAGTTGACTGGATATTAACTTTTCCCCCATTTATTTAAGACTAAATTGAGTAATATTCAGCTACTCTATATATACAGGTGCTCCCCGACTTATGATGGGGTTAGGGGCCCAAATCCAGGTCGTAAGTCCGACATAGATAAAAAAAATATACACAAAAAAATTCATTTTTTTTAATTTAAAAAAAAAAAAAAAAAACCTACAATGAAATACAGTACAGTAAAAGTAATAAATAATGAGGAATGGATACAGTGTGACTGAGCACTTACCTTTAATGTAGTCAGCTGAATGCACACAGGGCCCCCATAATTTTCTAATTATACATGGAGACTACATTAACTGGAAACGTTTCGGTATAGAAAATGCGCGCATCATTTGAGAAAAAAAAAATGGTCCCGACTGCGGCAGTCCTATATCCCGACGGTCGTAAGGTTAGAGCAGGTCGTAAGTACCGATGGACGTAAATCCAAGCAGTCGTAAGTCGGGGACTACCTGTATATATATATATTAACACCACATACCATATCCAGTGACAACTTCATTCCAACATGGTATAGTACATCACAGCCTGGCAGTGGCGGTACTGTCAGTTATGGCGGCCACAAGTGGTTGCTGACGAGCAGCCAGGAGTCCAGTATCAGGGGCAGACTCCCATATAATCTTCTGTAGTTGCTTGAAGAGTGGGTGAGAGGAGCCACCTGCTAGACCTAGGATGACAGACTCACTTGTGGTTAGGAATGCTCCACTGTCTCGTAGCCTCTCAAAAGAATACATCCTGTACAGTAATCAGTAGTATATAAATTACATGAAGTTACACAATATTTAACATACAAACACTATGCACATACATTTGTTCTATCAATAAATTGCTTTGGAGATGTTTACATTTTGAAAATTAGTCTTTATCTCTTAAGATGAATGAGAAATAGTGACATTAAATGGCCTTGTCCCAATTGGCCCTACTCTTCTCATTAGGATTAGGACACAATCTTTGGCCCTACAATTCTCATTAGGATTAGGACACAATCATAATACAATGCTCTCCTAATGACCTTCAGCTGTAATGGTTAGGTTGGTGCCTATTAAGATTAGGGTTCACCTGATCTACTACCACTAGGAATCATACGCACCTGTCTGTCATGGAGCGTGAGGAACAGGCGTCAACCACCACGTGCACATCTAAGCCACTCTCTAGCAGGTCTAATGTGGTCTGCTGCACACACACATGAGCTTCAATGCCACACAGCACTACTGATTTGATCTGTAATTTTATTTAAATCATCATCAAAGCTGTTTCTGCCACAAAGTTTCTTGATCTCATAATTACTTCTTATACGTTGCCTTACCTTTATGTTATTTGTTTAAATTTCTAATTACCATAACTTATCTCTATAATTCATACATATATATACTGTATATGCAGAAACAAGGTAGATTTAATAGATAATTATTTTCATATCAAGCTTAAGACACCAAGTGTATAATACAGAGAGGAATTTTGACATACATGTACTATATACCTAGACCAGTACATCTACTTAACTCTTCTGAATAAAGCATACTGTGAGTAAATCTCTTAAAATGCAGTACTTTGCACACTAAATCCTAACCACAAAACATCTGATGAAATTTAACTGAATTTGTCCATAACTTAAGATCTATGAAATTTGGGATCACCTGTACATGAGACACCCAAGCCTATTTCACCTAACACTAACCACCTAATGTTTGACCTAACCCCCTAGGTGGCTAATACTAGGATGTGATCCCAAGACACACTCTAACTATTAGCGTAATATTTAACAGGCTGGTGATTAAATGCCCACCCATTTCACGAGATGTCTAGATATAAAACTATGACAAAAAACATTCACACAGAATAATATTAATCTTATACCTTACCTCTTTATCCTTGATTATTTCTTGAATTGGTGGGAGACACATGGAGAACTTAGTCTTGTCAAACACTGGTACATTGTGTTCCGCCACACCCAACTCTGCCACGGTGTTGCCAAGTCCTGCAAGGAAACAAGTACCCGGTACTCATCATGTATTTTACTATTAGTTATAACAAAGACAATGTAGTGATTGTGTGCAGCAATGGTGGTCCAGTAGTTACCAGCCGCCTCAACCACCACCATGGAATTTGGGATTTTTAACACATGTAATAGATATATGTCATTCATTTGATTAACTTTCACTCTATACACTTCCATCACAAGTGAATACTAATGAACCTATTAGATACTAAACTAAACAACCAAAGCAACTTACCTAACTTACTAGATGGGGGGGGGGGAGCACAAACCCTCTGCCATATTAAAGAGAAAGTACTTATCTTTATATCTGGTACCAATGAAAGCAACTTTGTTGAAGCACCATGGTGTAAGTTTACATTTTTTGTGGACGGTGAGAGTATGTTTGGATATAGTGGGTCGGTTGTAAACAAAGTGAGTGGGTGACAGGTGCTCCCGTATATGATAATAACAAGAGAATAAAACACTTCCAATACCTCCGTTATTTGACATTTACGAGGAAAGTGTCGCAGAATTATTAGATCTATAGATTGCAAATGCCACAATCCCCGGATGAGATGGTTGTACATATCTAAAGTAATACCGGGTAAGGGTCCGACTAATTACCCAAATGTAGCCAAATATAGCCAGAATGAAGTCAAATAATGGTCCTAGATGAATAAATCGGACTGCCAATCACTTCTCGACAAGTATTTGGTGTCAGAAAGTCACAAAAAATTGGAAAACTTACTTTAATCTGAGTTAATAGATCGCGTGCATGTGCCGAGGGAGCTAGGAATTACCCAAATGTACCCAAATGTAGTCGCAATGAAGTCAAATAATGGTCCTAGATGAATAAATCGGACTGCCAATCACTTCTCCACTAGTATTTGGTGTCACAGTCACAAAAAATTGGTAAACTTAATTTAATCTGAGTTAATAGATCGAGTGCATGTACCTAACCTAACCTCGACTAGTATTTGGCATCACGAAGTCACAAAAAATTGGTAAACTTAATTTAATCTGAGTTAATAGATCAAGTGCATGTACCTAACCTAATCTAATCTAACCTAGCCTAACACAACACAACTCATTAAATTAAGTTTACCAATTTTTTTTGACTTTATGACACCAAATAATAATCGAGAAGTGATTCACAGCCCGAATTACGCTTGTACGACCATCATTTGACTTCATTGTGGCTACATTTGGGTACATTTGGGTAATTCCTAGCTCCCTCGGTACATGCACGCGATCTATTAACTCAGATTAAAGTAAGTTTTCCAATTTTTTGTGACTTTCTGACACCAAATACTAGTCGAGAAGTGATTGGCAGTCCGATTTATTCATCTAGGACCATTATTTGACTTCATTGCGACTACATTTGGGTACATTTGGGTAATTAGTCGGACCCGCCGGGTAAAGTTATGTACAGTACAGTCCTGTATCAATATTTTGAAGATATTGATTTCGTTCTTGTATATGCACCTTCATGCAGCAAGGTACATCTGCAATTAAGAAATTAATCTTAAAATAATTACAAGTTCACCAAGATGTTATGCACGACGAATATATGGAAATGCTTCACACACAGGCTGACAGACCTATGGAGGAATCTACCCCTCAAGAACTGACAAAACTAACAGGAATAATGGAGGGATACTACACAGGCCTCCATCCCTCACTCAGGCCACCTCTAGTTTGGATGGTCATTAGGTCAAGAAGGTAAAATATTCACAGCATAAATTGAAAAGAAGAACCTATAGTTTGGTTATTAATTTCCAAAGTTTCATCCTAAAACTATCAGTACTGTACAGTAGTAGAGCCAGAAAATAACTTATAATATCTCCTCTCTGTAATAAACATAAAATTAGTACCATGTCAAGAACAGCTACAGGAAGTAGATAATAATATATATTAAATAACCAGTCCAAAGGTCATCCCTATCACCGGCAGATTAACTTATAACTATTTAACAACTATACAACACATTAACACCTCTTATTAAACCTGACCAGAATGAAACATGATTTATATGAGTTGCATAAAAGAGAACAAACACTTTAAAATTAATTATAAAATCTATTATTACAGAGAATAACAATAATCTCACCTTTCGGGTACTGCTCCGTACACACAATCGGTAAATCCAGCAATTTAAAAGCTCTTAACAGTCTGTTGGATATTTCAACTATCTGCGGAAAGTATTGGATATTATTCCTGAATTTTTCTTGCATATCACATAAGAATAAGCAAGTATTTTGGGGCACAAGTCTCCCCAGGTTCCGTGACACTTCTCTTACTTGAGCCGCCATTTTTACCTCAGAATGATAAATGTTATATGACAATTATTTTTCGAACAATTTATTTAATCTAAGTTCATCTAAAATAAAAATATTATAATAATTAGGTTAAATAATATTTGTCGTTCTTCAATGAATAGTGTAGGTGTAATTTAGGTGGTTCTTTAGGGTAACAATTTTCTGTAGACGGAAACGTTATGGAAGTAAAATGCCTAAAGTTGTATAAACCATCGGCAAAACACATTACTCAACTACTAGGGTGTAGTGTCCGAAATTGCAGTTTAACCCACCCCCGTTTTTATTTTGTAACAAACCCCAAAAACTGAGCTCTAAAGTCCGAGAGGTTCCGTTTTCTTTGATGCGAGAGGGGGAAGACTGTAGGGTTTCGTGATATAATGTTGTCTAGCACTCAGGATGGATGGAAACTCTAAGGTGGTTTTCTTGTATAATATAAGTTATATGATAGACAGTCTGTTGCTGGAGGTGCCGTGTGGTGAGGAGCTGCTCAGTAGGCACGTTCGGTGAGTAGCGTGTTGAAGGAGGTAGATGTGCAGGAGCTTCGTTAGAGAAGATGTTGCCTGTTGCTGGCCTCCTGGTTGAATGAGAACGGGACAGCGAGGAGCTTGCTTGGAGGAGGTGTTGCGTGTTCAAGAAGAGAGGCCAGAATGAATCTCAATGGGGAGACAGAGCTTATATACCCAGTAGCCGTGAGTCAGCCGTGAGTCATGGTGGGAAACCCCGGGAAGTAGCCGGTCTTTTGGCTCCGTTGCTAGGATACTGTGGCATCTGGTGACGCCCCTCCCTTGGGCCGCTAGTTTGGTTGCTAGGGAAGACGTAGCAGGTGGCATGCAGCTACGCAGTTGTAGGGGAGACGTCCACTACAAGACCAAAGCCACGATAAGATGCTATGTAATCTGTCTTTTACTTTACTTTTATCCTCTTCGCCACTGATCGGCTTGTTAGCCGCTTGGGCGATCGGTCTCGTCTCTGATTACTTTTCCTTTTCATTTATCTTCGGTGTCGTCTGCACTCGCCTATGGGTACAGCGATTTGTGGTTATTTGGGCACCCTTTCACCATATTCTTGGGTTATAATAGCTCTTACCACTATATACTTTCACTTGCAACTGTCTATATTTCGGTTTATATTTCAATGTATTTTAAATAGCTGAGCAATCATAACTTTGTGCTACTGTAGTGGATTTCTCCCCTACAAACGCTGTTTGTCGCTGTGTAGCCGACCCCACCAATTCCCCAGTGTATGCCTCGTGGTCTAGGTCAACCAGCGCCGCCATACATCATGGAGCGGGGGTCAACTACTAAGCCACGCCTACCCCCGCTATTTAAGACCTGACCTCGTGATGACCTGCCTCTTTCTACCTACACCAACCAGTCAGCAACACCTCCTCCTCCTCCGCCGCTGCCTGGCGGCCCTCGCTCCTCCTCCGCCTGCCTGGCAGTCCTCTCTCCCGCCGGCGAGCATGGCGACCCACAAGTTGTCCTTCTCTGAGCGTCCTCACCAACCAGCTCTCTCTACATCACGCTTGTAACCATGCTGCCTTCCCAGCACCAAGCTGCATTGTACATCCAATACAACATGTATATAGAGAGCACATTGTGAGTTTCCTTTCTCCAACCCATCCTGAGTGTGAACCAAACATCTCATACCCCCACACTACCATACGTCATAAAACATGGCCCTGGCTATGGGCCAATTTTGTTTGGAGTATTAAGCTACGGCGAAAAAATGTTGTAACTCAATTATGACCAACTCTGGGGGATGGGGGGTCTTAAATATTGTTGAGTATGTAACGACCACGGTCTTACACGTCAGTTAGCGCCAAAATCAAATGATTCATATTACGCTCAATAGCCCACAAAACATGTAACTCTGCTTTCGTTGAGTCCTCCATCTGAGGAGTCTGTTTTCTCATCACTTCAAGACACCTCAGTCCTCCGTTATCCCATTTTCTCTGACTTACTGAAACCAACCTCGCTATAAAATAAATTTGACTGTGAGAGAGAACACCCTTGTTTTGAGTCAACTTAGATAGGTCTGTTTACAATTGGAAAATTCAAGATCCATTGTGAGTGGGGTAGAATGCTTCAACTGTCCTTATTGTTAGTAAAACGTGTCAAGTAAGTGAGTGTCGAGTTTGCCAGCTAGAGTGGCGTATTTTATGTCGTCCGTGGGGGTATCCATGAGTTTCTGATCGCGCCTGAAGTTATATCATTTTGTCGCCCCGACATCAGAGAATCTGATGCTTATAGTTTAGTTAGTGTCAGTTGTCTATTTAAGAAAGTCATTAATCTCCTGAACTATTCTGTCAACTGGTATAATCTCCAAGATCTAGCGTCTCCCCGTGAATAGCTCCTTGTTCGCCTCAGGCCTGAGCTTGCAGAATTAATGTTATCAACGTGTAAATTCCACCTTTTCCTGGCATGCTCAACCTCTGATTAGATTATAAGAATATAAGCAAGAATATATAAGAATTAGTATATATGTAAAGAATTGAAGAAGGATAACTATATAAAACAGGATACTCATTGGAAAGAATGCTACAAAGAACATATAAGTATATGAATAAATAAGAATACTAACAGAAAAGAATATCTGGATGGTAAATTACAAAAAGAGAAAACTCGGCCCGTTACAAGTATCCCGCCACAGGTGCAGGTCTAGGTATACAGTGCAGTACAGTACAGGTAACTGTGTATAGAAATCCTACTGGAATAAGGGCTGTGAAGAACATTATCAAGAAATCCAGAGATGCAGAATTTGAAATGGTCAACTTATTGGTCAGGTTGATCTATGAAGCCAGCGCGCAACTCTCTATGCTAAATTCAAGGTGGAAAAGATAACACGAACGCTTAGGTTCATTTCATGGAACATCCGGAGTGTTAACCGCAGAATTAATGACCTACAATGGTTTGTTAAAGTTTTTAACATTGATGTAATTGGTTTACAAGAACCTAACACGTCCAGCACCCAGAAGAATGTTGCACCCAGGATGGCTGGGTTTACAGCATATAATAGTGGAGCAGGAAGTGGCCTGCTCACTTATGAAAAGAATGATCTGGTCTGTAAATGGATTAAAACTCACAATGATGAAAGTATTCACTATCAACAATTTACAGTAAAGACAGCAAACAGTAAATTTTCGCTGTATAACATCTATGTTTGGTGTAATGAGCTGCGAGCGGACGTGTTACCAAAGCCATCAGGTAACAATGCTATGCTGTGTATGGGTGACTTTAACTCTCGTCACACTGTCCTCGGTGATTTCCAGTGTAACTCTAATGGGAGGGTTTGCGTGAATTACATCAATAATCATAATATCACTGTATACGACACAGACAAAGTGACACATCTGATGGGGGCAGACTTGATTATGTGATTGGGTATAACCTAGTAGACAGTAATCTCAAGGCTAAGGTCATCTCAGACCACCTAGTCAGTGATCATTATGCAATACTTACTGAATACACTGTCGCTGATGTCAAGTGTGAACCCCATCCTAAGCTCAGAATTAACATCCCAGATAATCTTAAACTGCACTTCAAGGCCTACATCCACAGATGGTATGCTGTTTATACACCTGGGTCAGTGGATGAATTTTGCTGTGATCTTGCAAATGTCATTACCACATATTATACCACCTGGGTTAAGTCAAGGAGGAAGGGGGGCAGCACTAAGCCACCTCTGTGGACACATGACCCCATCCTCACCAAAGGAGGAGAGAATGTAGAACAACTTGCCAACACTTATAAGCAAAATAAAACTAGTGATAACCTCTTGGCATTCCTCAAAGCTAACAGAGAATTTCGTGAACTCAAAGGTCAAGTGAGAAACACCTATTGGAAACAATTCTTACAGGGGATTAATAGAACAACCACTCTAGCAGAAGTGGAACAAAATTAGAGCCATTATCAAGTCACCCATCCCAGTCAAGCTTCATCACAGCCCTGCAGAATATGCTGACATGCTATTAGATCAATGGTCTAGTGTGTCACGAATCACTTCCCTGTCTCCTGACATACAGCAATATCTTAACAACACACACATTAATAGGGGTTTCAATATTGAAACAGCCTGTTCCTCACCAGACCTTACCAACCAGTTTCCTATAACGCACCACGAACTAACAACAGCACTAATGAAAGGTGAGTCATCCTCCCCTGGTGAGGATGGCATAACCTATAACGCCCTGAGATTGTTGAATGAGATCCCTAACCATCCACTGCTTGACTTGTATCAAATGAGCCTCACACAGGGTATTCTGCCTAAGACATGGACTCATGGAAACATAGTACCAATCCCTAAAGCTAATTCTCCAAACTTCAGGCCAATTTCACTCACATCCTGTATGTGTAAAGTCCTTGAAAGAGTTGTTCTAAACCGTCTCATGTTTCAAGTCAAAGACAAACTCGCCCCTAATCTGTACGGGTTCATGCCCGGGCGTAGCACGCAGACATGCTTTGCAGAATATCTTGTTCACTCAAAAGATAAGACACAAACAGCCTTCATAGACCTTAAAGCAGCCTTTGTTGTAGCTAATAGAGACATTATACTTGAGTAACTAGCTAATTTTGGCATCCAAGGTAACCTCCTGACATGGATAGAGGGTTATCTGTCCAACAGGTATGCCAGTGTTCTGTTTAGGGGGGAGTTAAAAGTACAGTACCAGAATGAGATCATTTGAGCTTGGCACGCCTCAGGGAGGAGTGTTAAGTCCTATGCTCTTTAATATACTGATGCACAAGCTTATTGCTGACATTCCAGTTCAGCCAAATGAAGCTGTAATATGCTATGCTGATGATATCTGCATTATGACACAAACCAAACTCAGGCTCCAAGCCTTGCTGGATGTATTTGCTCGGAGAACTGTTGAATGTGGTCTCATAATATCTGTTGACAAAATGAGGATCCTCAATCCTCGTCCTGCTCACCCTCTGCCTCTTGACTTTAACATTAACAGCATGCCCTTGGAACTATGTAGCTCCTATAAATATCTTGGAATTTGTGTGAATGATGCAA